CAACGCGGGTTCCGTGGTCAACGGGCGTTCGACCACACCACCGGCCAAGGCTACGTCAAGTCGCAGCGTGGCCACTACCATGATGGGATCTTCACCAAACGAAACAAGTTCAACCTGCTTCTCCACGAGACATTCGGCGGCGGCTTCTCGCCGCCAGCAGTTGCAAAGATCAACCGCCTTGCGCGCAAGGCTCAACGCTCGGGCGTTGACCGCACCGCGTACCCTCCCCACTCCCGCCTCTCATTTGTGTCACACCACGCGGAACGCATCTCCATCGCTTCGGTGAAGGGGGTGAACCGTGCCATCCTCGATCGCCGTGCAAAGCTCGCTTCCGAGCTCTCACGCCGCGCGTAGGGCCCTTAGGGGCCTAGAGAACACAACCCCCTCTCTCTTTTCTCCCAGTAAGCTAAAAGTACGTACGACACGACGCTGTATTGCAATACACCACGCACGTCGACTGGTATTTGACCGCCTGCCTTTTCTTGCGCTCCCCCTGTTGGCCTTGCCCCACACTCTCGCCACCGCAGCGACCATCATACATGGCGCCGATCGACCGCGACAAGCTCCTCTCGTGCTTCACGGCGCACGTCGCGTGGGCGGAGCGTCCCTGCGTGCAGCGCACCTGGCGAACGCTGCGTGGGGAGGCGCCGCTGGGCAGCAGTGCGCTTCCGAAGCCTCCCGCTTCGTCAACCGCAGCGGCAGGGTCGTCGAGCTTCACGGGCGTCGGCCGCATATTTGGTCTGCACAACTTCGATGCGGGCGGGCTGCTGGGCGATGGAAACTACTCGCAGGTCATCCAGGCAACGGTGAGACCGACGCAGGAGCAGGTGGCGCTCAAGATTGTCGACAAGGCAAAGATGAACCGCTACCACAAGGCGGACGAGGTCATCGTCGAGAAGTACGTGCTCACGCACGCTGACCACCCCTCCATCATCCGGCTGTACCACACCTTCCAGGACGCCTCCGCGCTCTACCTCTGCCTCGAGCTCGTGCCTGGCGGCGAGCTGTGGGCGCTCTGCCACCGGCGCGGCATACACACCTCGCACGCGGCGTACTTCGTCTCGCAGCTGTGCGAGGCGCTGCAGCACCTGCACGAGCGGCGCATCGTCCACAGAGACGTCAAGGCGCGCCGCCCACCCGCTGCAAGAGCGCCCTCGCTGCCGCTTTCTGAGCCTCCCGCCTCCCGCCTCCCGCCGCCCGCCTCCCGCCTCCCGGCAGCCGGAGAACGTGCTGCTGACCGCCGAGGGGCGGCTCAAGCTGATCGACTTTGGGTCCGCGAAGCTCATGGACGCGGTGGAGACAGACTCGCCGCTGCGCGCCTCGCTCTGCCTCGCCGACCCCTTCAAAGACTTCGTCGGCACTTCTTAGACACTTCTTAGACACTTCTTAGAACGACCCCTTTAAAGACTTCGTCGGCACGGCAGAGGACCGCCATCCCGGCTAGTCGGGGTCATTCCTTAGGCGTAGACTCATTGGCGAATAGGCACGGCGGAGTACATGGCGCCCGAGGCGATCGACAACAAAGGCGGACCGCCACCGAGACACTTCCTTGACACTTCCATGCCACTTCCATGCCACTTCCTTGACAACAAAGGCGGACCGCCACCGAGGCCGCAGAACCGCTCGCCTCCCGAGGCACTCACGAGGCTCCTCGCTCAGCAGGCACCGACTGGCGCTCGGACCTCTGGTCCCTCGGCTCCTTCACATGTGCGACCCTCCCGCCGCCGCCCTCCCGCCACTCCCCTCCCCTCCTCCCGCCACTCCCCTCCTCGCCTCCCGCCACTCCCCTCCCCTCCTCCCGCCACTCCCCTCCCCTCCTCGCCACCACAGCTCCGCCACACAGCTCCGCCACCTCCTCGCCCCCCACGCAGGCATGCTCCTCGCCGGCGAGCCCCCCTTCCGCGGCGGCTCCGACTACCTCACCTTCCGACGCGTCCAGGCCCCCGCCCCCACCACCCGCCTCGATCTGGGACCCCCCGCTCGGCTCCCCCCCCCCCCCCCACCAATAACAGGGTTGCCTCTTCCACATGCCCGAGGGGATATCGCCGAGCCGCCGACCTTGTCGAAACCTCCTCGCCTCCAACCCCAACGAGCGGCTCGGCGGCGGCGCGAGCCTCGACGAGCCGGCGGCTGCGCGGCACGGCGCCCTCCTCGACCACCCTTTCTTCGGCCGGCACGTCGGCGGCTCGGGCGGCGCCGGCGCACAGCCCCGCGGCTCGCTGCACCAGCGGCCCCTCCCCATCCCGCGCCTGGCGGAGCTGTGCCTCGAGCCGGTCTGCACCAGGCTCACTCAAGGAGGCTGGGCGCGCGCGGCCATTGGCGGCCCGCCAGCCTCGCGCTGGCCAGACGCCGTCTGCCGCGCGCTCGTCTTTGAGCTCGCGAGGAAGCGCGCGCTGACGGACGAGCTGCGGCAGGCGCGCCTCGCCCCTCCCGCCCCTCCCGCCCCTCCCGCGCACCCCGCCCCTCCCGCCCCTCCCGACGCACCCCCGGCCGCCTCCCTCTGCCGCACCGAATGCATGCCATGCCTCTCCTCCGCAGCTGCTGCGGGCCGGCCCGCCTCCGCCGCCGATCGATGACGACGCGCTGATTGAGGCGGCGCGGAACGAGGCGGGCGAGGAGGAGTCGCGGCCGCTAGGGACGCGACCGATGTCGCAGGCGCTGCCGGCTGAGCTGGCGGCGATGGACGATGAGGAGGAGTTGCGGCAGGCGGAGGCGGGCGAGATGTTCGGAGAGAGCTCCAGCGACGAGTCGGGAGGGGCCGAGGGCACGCTGGTGTGAGGCACAACCGGGGGGCGCGCCGCGCGTTCGAGTGTATAGAGATGAGTTGCGGTTGCGGTTGGGGAGACTGCAGCTCTCACCCTATGCGGCAGTCGCCAGTCCATGTCCCCCGCCCGCTCCCGCAGCCGCACGAGTAAAAATAAACACCTTGTCTAGTGCTACTCGAAGGAAGGATGGGCGTAAAATCTAACTCCGCTAAGCGCTAAAACGAAGACGGAAGAGGAGAAGCTGGCCTATGCCGGGAGACGCGACCGGACTCTCCGGAGTGTCGGTCCCAAGTGTGCGGAGAGCCCGGAGACGCGGAGAGAGCCGAGCGAGGTCCCCACACAATGGCGGTCCTGTGCAGGGGGTTCTTTGACCGGGCGAACAGGTGAGACGTCTCTGTCTCACGGGTGTTTCGTCCCTGTCTCAACGCTGTGCCACAAATGCGTCTCAGTAATGTCTCACGGACTCTCACCGATCTCTGCGTTGTCTCAGCCTGGTCACAGCAACAGTCTCACTTTGTCTCAAGGATGTCACACACACGGCACAGTCACCTTCATAGACGTGTTTGAGACACCAGTGAGACAAATGTTCACCCCTGCTGTGTGACACTGTCGTCTCTACTACGTCTCGTCATTTCATCTCAGAGCGTCTCACACTCGTCTCACGGTGAACAAGCGGCAATCCTCGTCTCACTCGGTCTCACGACGGCATAGTTGCTGCGCCAAGGAGCGCGACTCGTCTCACTTGCTTCTGAGACTGTGCTGAGCCACGGCGTGATGAGACACGGCGCAGAACGGGTGTGAGACGCCACAAGCCGCTGCCGTTGTCAGATACCATCTTACCATGCCATGAGCCAACCTGAGACGCAATCGTGAGACATTGGCGGGAGAGTCGAGACTATAGGCTGCGTCGTCTTTGCTAGCCAGCTGTAGCGCGGTCGGCAGAGGGGTGAGGGCGGCGACAGCATGGGTGGCGGCGAGCCGGCGAGGTGGGTGCTCGTGTGGGAAGGGCAGCGGTGGCGTTGGCACAGGCGGCGCCGGCGGCGGTGTCGGCGGCGGCGTGGCGCGTGGGTGGTGGCGTGGGACCGGTTGTGGGCAACGGTGGCGAGGGTGGCGGCGGTGCCTAATCAAGGGCGCCGGCGGTATGTGGGCCAGGTGTGGCAACGGCAAGGGCGGTGGGGCGGTGAGTGGGGCGGCGGCGTGGGTAACGCCCGGCGACGGCTGTAAGGGCTGAGGGGGCGGCGGCGTGGGCAACGACGTGGCGAGGGAAGCAGCGTGGCGCAATGGGGTGGGCGAGGGCGGCAAGGGCGGCAGTGGCGGCGGCGGCGGCGGCGGCGGCGGCGGGGGCGGCGGCAGGGGCAACGGCGCGGGCGGCGGCGTGGATGACGGCGCCGCCGCCGGCGGCGCGTGGGCGGTGGCGTGGGCGGCGGCGTGAAGAACGCGACGAACAGAGGGCGAGAGCGTAGTGCTGGGCACTAACCCGAACCGCCCTGCCCGCGAGCGCAACCGGCTACGCCCGCCGTTTGCGTCTGAGAGCGCGATAGAGCAACCGGCGGCTACGCGCCGTTTGAGCCAGAGGGCGCGATTATGCTTGGGGTTCGTCTACACTCACCGAGACCCGCCAGGCCGCACCTCAGACACAGCCTGAGTTGAGTCTCCCCAATCGCCACTGTCTCACAATTACGTCTCAGGTTGGCTCAGCATGGTCTCTACGGACCTGAGACGACTCAGTCAAGCAGCGGCTTGTGGCGTCGCAAACCCCGCCCTGCGCCACGTCTCATTGTGGCTCAGCACTGTCTCAGACGGAAGTGAGACGACTCACTTCGCTCAGGAATTGTGACGTCTCAGCCCAGCCGTGAGACTGAGTGATACGCGGCCGAAAGAGACGAATGTGAGACGCATCTGAGACGCATCTGAGACGCACCGGCGACACTGACACTCAGCACTGTGACAGCAGAGAGACGCTTGGAGAGACACAGAGAGACGGAAAAAATCATGCAAGTGAGACAGGGACGAAACACCCGTGAGACAGAGACGTCTCACCAAAATTTCCCACTTTGACCTAACGCGCAACGGTCAACGGAGAACGGCGCCGTCTGAGGCCTGTCCGCACAGTGTGACAAAACACACACACATATGCACCCACACACGTGTACGTTCTCTACGTGTGTACGTGTGTGCATGTGGCGTATCCCCGGTCCTCTCGATGTACTTTGTGGCTAACTGCGGGTATGTACACTACAGTATGGAAAGCACCTTGTCCAGTGAGTGCTCGCTTACGCTCATACGACGCATCCCCCCGCCGCCTGTCCTTGGGCCAAGCCCTGCCCAGCGGGACGCGACAGTTGGCTGGCCAAGGCAGTCGCCGTACTCGAATCGGTGCTCAGCGTTGCGGATCCGCTCGTCGCCATACGCGGCGCTGCCGAGCCTCCCTGAGCACTGGCTGCTTCCGCAAGTGTCGCGCAGCCGAGCGAACGCCTCGCCCAAGAGCAGGTCCGCTAGCCTCCGCCCGTGCCACCCGGCGTCCCCGTGCGTGCCATGCGATCCGTGGCAAAAGACAACCTTCGAGGCGTCGCGCCGCATCGCCGCTTGCATCTTGGCGACGAGCGGCACGTCGTCCGCACGCGGGCGCAAGAATCGCGAGAGGACGGCGTCGATCGCCGCAAGCGGGTCCGCCACGAAGTCGGACTCGCGGATGCGGATCGACCACAGCTCGTACGACACGCGGGGCGGCCGCATCGGCGGCTCTTCCGCGGCAAAGACGAAGGGCAAGTTCGGGCCAAGCAGGTCGCTGACTATGATCGGGATGCAGCCAGCGGCGACTGAGTCGTACAGACGACGAGAGGTCGAGGTGTCGCCCCTCAAGTGGAGGCAGAAGATCGAGTCCCGCATCTCGTGGGCATACCGGCGCACTTCCACCCGGCGGCACCGCTTCGCGAGCTCGGGCCCGCAGCGCCGCGACTGGTCGAACTCGCGCACTGACGAGAGGCGCACGTGAACACCGCGGCGCTCAAGCTCCTCTCCACCGGTGACAGCGCGCGGTGCGCGTGCCAGCCTGCCGAGGGCGGCGCGGACCCCGCCGGAGGAGTCGTTGAGCCCCTCGCGCTGCCGGATGGTTCCGAAAAAGGAGACGTTGACTCTGCGCTGGTGCCACGGCCTGTAGGCAGGCGCGCTGCCGCACGGCCGCATTAGGCCCGCGTGTGGCGGGTACGGCACCACGATGACGCGGTCCAGGCAGAGGCCTCGGTCGACGGCCGGGTCGAAGGGCGCCCTCTCCGTCTGGTTGTGTATCCAGTGCGGCACGCGTGGGTCGAGCCACTTGACGTTGCGCTCGAGGCTGACGGTGAGACCACGCAGTGCCACCATCCAGAAGAGCTTGCCGAGCAGTCCCGCGCACTGCCAGTGCGTGCACGCGACCAGGTGGTCGGCGCCACGACGCCGCAACCAGGCGGGCTCAAGCGCGAGCGCCGCCGCCACACGGTCCACTGAGCCCGGGTCAACGTGCGGCAGCGCCGGGACCACGAAGAGCGACGCGGCTGACGGGTCGTGCGTGCGCTGCGGATGACTGCGGAGCTCCCAGTAGACAAACAGCTCGGCGAACCACATCATCCTGCCGTTCAGGTCCGAGTGCCGGGCGAGCGACTGTGAGATTGCACGGATCGCTGTGGCATTCGGAATGAACTCGGGCCCCTCGTACATGAAGAAACGCGGCCCGAGTATAGGTGGCGCAGGTGGTGAGGCTGCCGAATTCCTGGAAGGCACCATCGACTTCGCGGCCCGCGGCGGCGGCAACCTGCTGCCGCGCGGCGCGTGCGAACGACTCGACGCGTCCCGACGGGCGCTTTTGGTTGCTGTGCTCAGTGTGGTACCCAAGCTTTGAACTCTCCTCCGCGCTGCGTCGATGGACTGTGCATCTGTCTCTCTCCCTTTCATTCCTCGGGACATTGGAAGGTCTACAATGGTACTGTCCCTCAAACGTCTACCACGGTCGCCAGTGTCAAGAGACACGTACGTGTCTCGTGTCACGTCACCACTGACTGGGTGGGGCCGCCTCTATAGGGCAGCCTCGGCGGCTCGGGAGACTCGGACAACACGCACGTCTACTTACTCGTACATGCACATGCACACATGCACACGCAAAGCGGCGCGGCGAAGCTCACGCAAGGCCAAGGGGCAGCAATACGCCATACACACCCGTCCGACGCCGAAGCCACAGACAGCGACGAGCATAGCGCGTGCGCGGGGGCCCGGAGGAGCTGGATCCTACGATGTGTTCTGTCGCTAAATGCAAATGGTTATAGCGACGACACGGACACCGACAGAACACGAGGACAGACAGGAAAGTAATAAAATTTTGCCCCCTTCTCGAGTGTCTAATCGATAGCGGTCCCGCGGCATGTCGGGGAGAGGGGGGACGGCACTGCTTCTGCAGCGTGCACCTCGATCCTGTACCGTGGCGTGTTTGTTATGACCCCCCCTAAATGAACACACCAGTGTGAGGGCGTGCTGGGTGGGCGCGAGAGGATGAACGATCCCTTATGGCGGATATAATCGCAATTATCTCAGGAATATAGTGTGAATGCCCGGAAACAGTGTCACCGACACGCCTTAGTCGACCCGGGACACACACGTATGATATTCGGGCCGACTCGCGGCATCTCAGCGCCTTGGGTGGACACGGCTGGGGGTTCGCTCGCGGCAGTGCCGTGCAGCGCATCGATGACACGCTCCAAGAGCGGCGGCGCCTTGAGGTCCTCCGCCCGAGGCAGCGCGCCGCCCACGACGCGCCACAGCCGCTCGGCACACTCCCGCTCATCCGCGCTGAGCGGCGGCAGCGCGGCGAGCGCGCCGGGCTGCTGTTGGGCCGCTGTTGGGCTCGCCGCCCGCCCACGGCTCGCGTCGCTCAACCGCCTCCACGCGCGGAGCAGCTTGTGCGCGTACCGCGCGTGCTCCCGCTCCAAGAAAGCGACGTGCTCCTCCGCCGGCTGCGGCGCAGGCAGCCCGTGCCTCTCTGCCCACCGCGCGAGCCTGAGCACGCAGCAAGCGCCTCCCTCCGAGCCCGCGCCCGGCGCGCACGCGTAGCACCCGCCCGGCGGCGGCGGCGCGGCGGCGTGCGGCGCGGCGGCGGGCGGCTCGGCCGCGTACAAGTACCACCGGACCGCTGCAGTGTGGTGTGTCTGGTCGACGGCGAGGGCTGCGGCGAGGCCCGCGTGGCGAGCGGCGGCGAGGAGCAGCGACGCGGCCGCCTGGGCTGCCTCGGGAGGCGGGTGGAACTGGAACACCGCGGCGCCGCCGCGGCCGCCCACCACGCGCCTCGTCTCAGAGAGGCAGCGCCGGGCTCGCTCCGGCGCAGCCTCGCCCGCGGCATCCTCGCACAGGAACTGCGCGGCGGAGACCGAGACGGCGCCGTCGAAGACGCCGCTTCGGAACGGGAGGGGCCGCGACATGTCGGCGTGCACGACCTCGGCGCCGCTCCGCCGCGCGACCAGCAGCATCTCGCGCGCCAGGTCGAGCCCGACCGGCACAGAGCCCGCAGCCGCGAGGGGCGCGGAGGAGAGGCACGAGCCGCACCCCACGTCGAGCAGTAGCGAGCCGCGGCCGCCGTCCGGTAGGCCGGCCAGCTCGAGGCAGCGGCCTGCCAGCGCGGCCTGCGGCCCTGCAAGACGCGCCGTGTAGGCGTCCGAGCGCTCCGCATCATAATAAGCATTGATGCCGTCAGCGTCGGCCTTCATGCGGGTCTGCCGCCGCCAGCCCGCCACCGCTGTGCGGAGCGCTCCGACGCCATCGAAAGCGCCGGCGGCGCGCAACGCTGCGTCCACCGCGTCTAAGCGATCCTCAGACAGCGTGATGGGCCGGCCGCGGCCAGAGGCCTCGCGTGCGAGCGCTGTGACGAGCGTCCGCGCGTCGGTGTGCACCGCGGTCGGCAGCTCGCCTAGCGCCCGCAGCTGGCCGTACAGGTCGACGCAAAGAGGCTTGCGCTTGGTCTGGGGCATGAGCTGGAGACGGCCTCTTGCGCGCGGAGACACTGGGCGGGACTGGCGCGCACTGGCACTAACACAGGTACACCACGTGTGTGTGGCAGTTCTCCCATCCCTGGGTTCCGGCTCCTAGCCAGATAGGGGGTCTGCGCACTGAGTCGCGCCAAAACGCCCTACCTATCTACCTATGGATATCCCCACGCGCGCAGCGAAGCGAAAAAAGAGGAAAATAGCTAAATAGGTAGGGGCCCTACCTATTGCGGGGCCCTCTGGGGCGGTCAAAACCGGTCCTACCTACCTATTGCACAGGGGCCAGCCAGTGGGGACAGACCCCCTATCTGGCTAGGTTGTAGGCTAGGAGCCGGAACCCTGTTTTGGGATTTCTTTCTTTCTTTCTTTCAGCTCCCTCGGGAAAGAGAATTTAGCCACAGGGAAATTTACCACCAAACTCCCTCGCACAACACTAGGGTCTAGGCACGGGAAAGAGAATTGTCCCACAAGACTTGTAGCGAGAATTAAGAGAGGAGAACCGGAGCGCCGGGAAGACGGGCGGTGAACGCCGAGACGAGGGTCTAAGTAAGCAAGTAAGTGTCTGTGGTAGGTGAGTGGTGTACACAGGTAGCCCCAGTCGTGTCCATTAGCTCCGACGTCCGAGTAGAGGGGGCGTCCTGCAGTTAGTTAAGGGGAAACCCGGCGTACGCCGGGCCAACCCTCGGAGACGCGTGTTTGTTTACTTTATGGCCCCTTTTCCCTGCGAACGCGCACCCCCCAGGGTCAGGGCTCTCTAGCCCGCAGCCCGATGCCGATCATCTGGCCCGCTGGGTGCGCTTCATAGCTCCCCGGCCCTGGGTGTGAGTGAGGTTAAATGACTGACTGCACTCCAAGTGCTGCTCCAAAACTCCCTCTCACCACACTGCGCGGGGACTGGCACTAACACAGGTACACCACACGGGAAAGAGAATTCTCGGCATCCCCTATCATCTACTCTGCTTACCTCGGCCGACGGCCGCTCGGTGGTCGAGTGGCTGCCGGATCGAGTCTGCAGTGTTGACCCTTATAAACTTTTTTCACCTGAAGCGGGCCCAATTTTGCTCGAGGTGTCTCCTACGATTCGATCCAGCGTTCTCAGGCAGTCGCCTGGGGTGCGTTGTCCGTTTTCGTCACGGGAGAGTCACAATCAACCAAGAAAACAAAAACCATTGTCAGAGTCGTTTGGTATTGTCCCGCAGCTCCAGCCGATCTCTCGTCAACGGTCGGATCTTATTACCCCACCTGTAACCTCTCGATATTGCTAAATCTCTCTCTCTCTCTCTCTCTCTCTCTCTCTCTCTCTCTCTCTCTCTCTCTCTCTCTCTCTCTCTCTCTCTCTCTCTCTCTCTCTCTCTCTCTCCCTCTCTCTCGCAACCAAGTGGTTGCGACCGCTTCAAACTTCAACCACGCGGAATGTAGAGCGGAATGGCTGTTCACACCCCGCTCAAAGGTGTTGTCATGTGTGATGTGAGGGGAACGGTAAAAATTCATGTCGCCTACTTTAGTGTTTCGACGCCACCGCCAGGACGCCGCATTTGACGCCGTTTTTTACGAATAAAGGCACTTCCGTGGAATGGAGTGGCTTGATTATGCCATCAAAGCCCGCCGAGCCGGAGAGCGCTGACAGCCATCCTCGCCCACAGCCTACTCTCTTGGGGTGGTGCGTAGAGACCTCTCTCTTGTGGAAAAAAAGAGCACTTGAGGCAAACCCCACTTTGGGACCTATTTGAGGCGGTGTGGCGGCACTCACAGGGCACGGGAAGCTCTCCCGCCGCGTCTGCGTGGCCCGCCCGAGCCGCGGGGAACGGCACGCGCCACTCCCGGCGGAGCTGGGTGCGGCAGACGGGCCCACGGGTCGGTTCCGGGCCGATTTGGGGCCGTTCTGTGTAGTTGTGGGTCAAAATCGAGCTACACAGTTAAAAATATCGCCCCCACGGATGGTACTTTTTGATTTTTCTCCACAATCATCGCCCGGGCCCGTGAGGCCATGGGAACGCCCTCGGATTGTACAGCACCCTCCACTAGCCACAACCGCGGGCCCTCAACCGGGTATCGGTGAGGCGGCAAAATAGCCTTCAGACACTGTCTCGTCGTTATAAATCGGCCAATCTGGCCCCTCTGACACAAGTTTTGCTTTGGGACGCACCGCAGTAAGTACGGCGGAGTCGAGATCCGGCGCGCAAACATCAAAAGTACCACGAATCGGGCCCGGCTAGACCTGCCACCGGAGGCACACAAAATGGAGGCGATTTTGAGAGAGAGATTTTTAGCAATACCTTAAAGAGAGGTTACAATACCAAACAACTCTGTTGTTTGCGATTTTGTGGTGGGAAAGCGAAAGATGGCCAGAACAGGGCGCCATGCGCTCGGGAGCGCTCGCCGCTCGCAGGCCTGCTCGAGGCAACATTACAGGGCACGGCTCTTTTCTGCTCTTTGCCGTGATATAAGATTATTTTTCATTTCTCGGTAGCTGCAGCGAAACGCGGCGGTCGTCGACGATGAGTGCCCCAAACAGCAACCTCGCCGAGCCGGCCCCTCCGTCTCGCCAAGCTTGTCCCCAGACTGGGACAATCGTCGTCGCCGATACAGCGTACACGGTGGCGCCGGCAAGGCCTGTCAAGATCGCTTGGCCCGGCGGCAACCGTAGGTCTTTCAAAATCAAGACGGTCGAGACGCTCGCGGCATTTGCCGAGCGCATCACCAACGAGTACCGCGTGGCGACCTCGTCGTACGCACCGGCCGCGTCGCTATCAGCACCCGCGCGTCCCGTCTCGGACCGGACGCGGTCGAGCTATCAGCCACCGCCCGCTGCCACACCGGCGACGAGGACATGGGCAGAGGTGGCTCGGCCTGCTGCTCCCACCGCCATGGAGGTGGAGCTAGTCGCTCCGTCGAGGCTCGAAGTCGCGAGCATCGCGCCAGGCCTGCCTGCCGCGGACTGCCGGCGGTGCAAGTGGTGTCTTAAGCTTCTGTCGGAGGAGCACCAGAACGACCGGTGCCTGCTACGAGAGCGGCCCGCTCTCACCACCTGGGCTGCTTGCGTCAGAATCGACCCGGCGCTACGGCCACCTGCCGTCACACGCGGCGGCGGTACCGAGCCGGCGAGAACGGCGACGCGCAATCGCGGCGGCGCCAAGGACGAGCTCGCCGCGCTCAAGGTGGGCCTCTCCGTGCGGCAGCTGGAGCTCTACCGGTCTAAGTACATGGCCTGGTGGCACAAGGAGGACCACGAGCTTGGCCAGCGGGCAGCCTCCCGCCTCGCCGAGTACATGGAGGCGCTCCAGCAGCCACTCGCTCCGAGCGGTCGCTCGGGCGAGTTCTCGGACTACGAGATGCTCTTCCTCGACTTCGCACGGCTGCTCCCGTACAAGCTTAGGCCGCAGCAGCTCCGCGCGGGCTACTCATGGGCAGCGCTAAACAACTCAGCGCTGCAGATTTTCTCGTCGGAGCTCCGCTCGGTGCAGCCCTTCGCGAAAGGCGTGGCGGCCGCTCGGATGCCGGGCGAGCGCTCCTCGACCGATTTTGCATACCACTACGAGCGCTACATCTCCATGCCAGCCTTTCGCACGGCTCTCGACATGAAGTTTGCCCACTGGCGCCAGCAGCTGCTGCAGCGGCACGGCGGACTCGCTCGCGTCGGCGCGCTGGGCGAGGACGCGCCGCTGGTCGATATCTTTCGGGCCGTCACGGCGTCGCGGGGGGGCGCCGCGCGGCGCCGACCGTGCGGAGACGGCGGCGGCGGCGCACCCTCCGCGAGAGACGTACGTACACGGCGCTTTCAGCGGAGAGTTTCTGCGGCGCAACGCCGACTTCGACGCGCGCGCGGGCCCGGCGTCTCGGCGGCTCGCTCGAAGGAGGACGTGCTAGGCGCCTCCTCACTTCTCTTCGGGAATGTGCCGAGCGCCAAGGAGGTCTCGGGCCGGCGGCAGACGGGCAAGGCGCTTCACTATCCAGCGCGGCGGACCGCGGCGGGCCACTCGCGCGACGTGGCGGCGTGGCGGACGGAGAAGGCCTCGGAGGCGCTCGGGCCGCTCCGTGCCATCAGCACCGACGCTGGCACACGCAGTAGCGGCGATACTTTCATCGTCGTCTTCGGCTTCGGCGTCCTCCCCGATGGCGCCGTCAACATGACGATCGGCCGTCGATCCCGAAGGGTCGTCGGTTGAGCTAGGGAGCCTGGCGATGGACGCCACCGCGACCCCTCGTGGCATCTCTCTCGCCGTCGGCGAGCTGGGGGCTCGCGGACGGCCGACTTTCTATATGACCAGTAGGACAGCCGTGAGTGTGAATTGGATAAGGAGTTTGCGTCCGTCCACCGTCTTCGTGGACGTCTGTCCTCGTGACACCCACACCCCACACGGCCTGCTCGGGCTCGCGATGCCGCTGCCCAACAAGACCGGCGCGTCCGAGGGCAACTCTGTGCTGCGCATCTGCACCGAGAATAAGATTCTACGCTCTTACATTGTGCTGAGCGACTCGGCGCGCAGCGCCATTGGCCACAAGTCCGGAGCGATCGCGTATCTGCGGCGCGAGTGGCGCACGCCCCTCATCTTCTACCTGAAGTGCACCGCCCACAAGGTGTCGCGAGCGTGGCAGCGGCCAGTGCAGCGGCAGGGCGGCGGGCTCGCCGAAAGACCGTCGGTGAGCCACGCGCAGCCCGGCAAAGTCTCGCTCTCGCGAGTCGCGCTGATGCTCGATGACAACCTTTACCTGCTCTCGGTCTGCGACGAGCTGCGAGCCCAGGCGCAGGCGCAGCAGGCCGAGCCCGTGCACAAGGGCGTGCGCGGTGTCATCGCGACACGCTGGGAGTCAACGATCACTGCTCTGTCCGAGCACAACGGCCTCACCGTCGTCTTTCGCCGGCTACGAACGCTCTTCGAGCGGGCGGCGCCTGATGAGGGCGGGCTGCCGACTCGCGCTGCGCTTCTGACAGTTGTCACAGCCGACGCCTGGCGGAGTTGCGGCCGCCGGCGACCTTCCCCTCGACCACGCCGCCGACCCGTCGACAAGCACGTGCGGACTGCCATCGAGAAGAAGGAGACGGAGGGCGGCGCATCCGGAGCCCGCGGGCGCAGCGGGCGCGGGTCCGGGCGCGGGCGGGCGCGCGCGGGAACCCCGCCAGCGGAGGCGACAATGCCTCTGGCGGCTCTGCAGGCGGCGCGCGGCGCGCCCCTCGCCGGTCTCCCGCACGCTCCTGAGGGCCGAGAGGGCCGAGAGGCGGGGTCGGTGACCCGGGGGCATGGGCGGTGCGGCCCGCGCCGCGCGCGGGCGCGTGACAGCCCGTGAGTGCCGAGATCGGGTCCGTACTTCGACGTAGTATGGGCCCCCGGGGGCCCATCTACAGCAGCGGCGAAGTGAGCGTGTTTGTGGTGTTGGTGTGGCGTCTGAGCTTGGATCTGTGACTAAAGCCGGTTACCACTGATGGATCCCCACCCGAATAACACACAGTGAGCGCCCCAGCGCTTCACTACGCCCTCCGCGCGAAATCTCGCTAGTGCTGTGAGAAAGTATATTGTACTTTTGAGTAGTACGGGTACGGTTCCCGAGACCGTCGAGCTCCACCCAGCGCGTGTCGATGAATCCAGCGTCATTGCTGTCCTCTTTGAAAGTGCCTCGCGTGAGGTAGCACACGGCCTTGTCGGCAGCAGCCAGCCTGTTGCGCCGCTTCTTTGCGATGAGTTGCTCGCTCGGGCTCGCAGAAGCGCATGCCGAGCACCGCATCAATCTTGAAGCAGAATGTCGGCACGACCGCATCGTCCGCACCGCCACCTGCCAGCCGCGCCTGCCGCTGCGCCGCAGCCGCTTTCTGGCACTTGTAGCGGCAGCACATGGTGCGGTGCGCGTACTTGAGCAGACGGTGCGCGCTGCAGTTGGCGCAGTGGCCCTGGGAGTAGGGCGCGCGCGGCATTGACGCGGACCCAGGTATTTCTCGGGTATACCCGGTTTTTTGCAGGTATACCCGGGTTTTACCCGGAGCGTGTGTCAACACCGTGTTAACGGCTGTGTTAACGCTTGTTTTGGGACTGCCGTTCAACTGTGTTAACACCGACCTCTGCGCCAAGTGTTGGCACGATCTGTAGTCAGAGCTGCCCCTGAGGTGTGTTAATGTTAATCCACCAGCCCTGTCAGGGGGGCCGGCGGCGACGTCTTCGCGGCGCTCCGCACGTGCTGCGCCGACGTGCGGGCGACGCGCACTAATGTGAATTGCGCGGGGTGCGGCCGTTCGGGTCGCGGCGAGAAACGGCCTCACACCAGCGCATCGGCTAGTCCGCGGCTCATCGCCTTCGAGTTGCCCGACAACGCGCCCCGTACTGTACCGTACGCGCTCCCGCTTGAGAGCAAGTTTGGACTCGGCGAGGCGGCCTTGACCTACCGCCTAGTTGCTGTGTTGTACTATTGCCACAACTACCACTTCGTCAGCGACGTCCTGGACCCGCGCGACCGAGCCTGGCTGCGGTTCGACGGCATGCACGCGCGCGGTCTCGGCCAGCCCGTGGCCTCTCCGCGCGGACGTGTGGAGCATCGTGGCCGTCGGTACTATCCCGTCGCTGCCGTCTATATTAGTGGTGGCCGCGCGGCCGGCAGCAGCGCGGCCGGAAGCAGCGCCAGCCCAGCCACATCCCTCGACGCCGTGAGGCGTCAGGGCAACGTGTGGGTTGACAACTCTTGTTATGCGGACGCGTCCCTTGTGGTGTGGGAGTTCATACAGCGCTGGCTGCAGGTCGGGGAGTGAGAGCGAGTCGCATGCGTTCGCACGGTACTAGTCCTCAATAGTGCCAGCGACTCTAAAGTACTGAGCCTTGTGTTTGGCCTAATTTCTGCTTGAATTCTAGTTCATTAGACTAGTTCGGCTTGAGGCGTGTCTCCGATGAAAGCGTGTCGCGATCGCTGCAGGCAGCGACGCCGCGCCGACCGGAGGAAAGGCTGCAGCAGCAGCCTCCTACGCTGCCCGTTTCGATCGTAAGTCCCTGAGGCCATCGTTGCAGTCTCAGAGACGCCATCGATGTCCGCAAATGCCCCGCGGGAAGCCAGACCTCTCCCATCGTCCGTGCAGGAGAAGCGCCGCTGCACCACGATGGTTTTTCAGCGAACGATATGCTGGACAGAAGATGAGGTCAAGCAGCCGAGGGTGATGGCGCGTGCTGTGGAACGGTAAGGACGCATGGCAGCGATTGGGGGCGGTGAGGAGCGAGGACACGAGAGGGAAGTCCATGTGTGTGGCTACGTGGTTCTCTCGACGCGGCCCGCCAGTGTGGTGGAGGGAGACTCGACAGGATTCGCGCCTTTCGCCGAGAGCAGTGTATTGCAAACGTGGAGCTGTGACCGCATGCGGAGAAGCGCGTAGCGTGCCGCAGGCACGCGTCCGATGGCACATCCTGGCAGCACCTCTCACGAGAGACCACGACCCAGACACCTCTGATCCGGCCCTCACACGGCGCAGCTCCACCGTGATGTGGGCGCCTCTCGTCTGGCAGGCGCGCACAGCTCGCCCAGAGGGTGCTTCCTCCGCAGGGACCGGCCGATTCACACCCGGATGCGCGCGAGCGGCGATGCGAGCCGCGGGGCCTCCGCGCAGCCTGCACTGGCCCTCTCCGGGACCGCCGCCGGGGCCCACAGGGCGCAGATTCGGCCCCCCAGGGTCAAAGAGGGCGGTTCTGACACCGCCAAGCGGTGCTTTCGCGGACCCCACGAGCTCGCGTTCATCCGTTCAAAAATATTTATTTACCCGCAGTTTGCCTCAAGTGAAAGAGCGCAGGACGTTAACTTATAGTGTTGACCTCTGGAAGCGGGCCGCGAAAATATGGTGTCTCTTTTACCCTCCTAGTGATACCCATGGTGCCGACACTAAACGATATCTGTTCTCTTTTACATTGATACACCTCGAGAGACGGGGCACCCAACACCCTGGCCCGGTGTGTAGTGTACATGAGGAAAAAGAGCCGTATCCCGACGAGTTCTCTCATGTTCCACTGCCTCCTCGCCACTCGAGCTCGCACCGAACCAGCGCGTGGTCGGAGACCTCCGCCCTCGGGTCCACCACCGTCGAGCTGGTGGCCGCGCGATACGCGACGCCTCCAGGCGGCCGCGAGCGGCGGGCACAGCAGAGGACATGGTCGACGGTGCCATCCTCGCAGGTCGGCTCCTCGCCCGTGTCCATGCGACGCAGCTCGAGGTCCGCGTCCACCGCCTCGAAGGCCTCGTGCAGCCGGTCGAGACTCGCGTGGGAGCCGAGCCACGCCTTCTCGTAGACCGACGGAGGCGTGGCGCAGCTCGGGCGCGGGCCGTTCCTCCGACCGGGCAGGGTCTGATGCGGGAGTGCGCTGTTCAGGTCACCGACGAGGAGCAGCTGCTCCGCGCCCTCGTCCAGCAGCCTCGCCGCGAGCCGCGCGAGCTGCAATTGTTGCGCGCCTCGCTGCACGCCGCCGTCCGCGTACTCGAAGGTCATGTGCGTCGTGAGGACCGCGAGGCCGCCAAACCGCGCCCACTCCATCCCCTTGTGGGCGACGCACTCGGCGTTACCACGCCAGTCGAACGGCTCGAAGCCGGTCTCGTCGGGCGGCCGGCTCGTGCAGAGCAGGAGCCCGCAGTCCAGCAGGCACGGCGCGCTCGCCGACCGATTGCTCTCTCGCGGCCAGCCGGCGTGGCGGAAGGAGGCCTCCCCCGCCGCTGTGGCGTGAGGCAGCCCGGCGCGGCGCAGGGACGCAGCGAGGACGGGCTTGGGACTCCAGAGGACGGCGCGCAAGAGCGGCGGCGCGCAGACGGAGGTGACGAGAGCGCCAGCGAGCTGGACGACACGGCTGAGTGCAAAGATCGCACGCAGCGCCAACGGCTCGCGATCGCCACGAAAGAGCGAACTCAGAAGCCTCTTCTGCAGCGCCGCCTCGAGCCAGACGAGTGGATATAGCGGTCCAGCGCGCCACGCCCACGCCTCCTGCAGTGCGGCGATGACCAGGCAGTCCTCCACGCCAGGATCGGTCAACATTGAGCCTACGTGCCTGCACAGGCACCGCTCGATGGCCTGCACGCGGCCGAGGCACCACGGGCCGCCAAACGGTATCAGCCATAGGTTCCACGAGACGATGCGGACGCGAGCCGGGCAGGACATCGGCATGGCTGGGTGGCAATGGCGGCAGTCGGGGGGGGGGGGGGGGCGAAGAGATTGCAGTGTTGTGTCAGTCCGAGCCAGTCTGCTGTGAGGGCTTGCGTGTGGTAAATTTCTTTATTTGGCCCCTTTCCTACGGTCTGATATCTTCTTGCTCGTAGCCCGATGCCGATCACCCCTCCGTCCAAGCGACACGGGGTTTGGGGCGCGGCAGTAATTTCTGTTCGGCGCGCCGTGTGATATGGGCCAGGAGCGCGAGATTGAATTCGCCGACGTGGATGATCACAACGTGGTGACAAAGACCGTCATGGGAGCGCGGGTGCGGCAGCAGGCGGGGGTGCCACACGGAGCGCACCACGAGAGGATCATGCGGGGAGAGGCGGGGAGAGATACCCCGGGAGCCGCCACAAGGAGCGAACTCAAGGGGCTGCCTCGTCTGTATACTGTAAGGCCGCGAGGGACGCGGCGAGGAGGGCGGCACTAAAGCGAGACCCGCTGTGTCCGATCGTGCGGAAAGCCGCGCAGCAATGGACCGAGGAAGATGAGAACCCGCCTAGGGCGACAATGGCGCACTTTTGCTTAGCGGCGCCTGCCTGGGGAATAGGGAGCAGGCCAGATGGTTCCTCAGAGTAGCGCGAGCGCAGACGGGGACGGCGATCAGCAAAGTAGCACAGGCGGCACCCGACTCCAAGGATACACTGAAGACGCTGAGGATAGCGCATGTCGCTGCGCTGAAGGGCTCACGCTATAGGGTGCTGGGATGAGGACGGGTACGATGCACTAGCCCCTGCCGTCGGGGGGGTGTTGCCGGCGCTGGTAGATGACCTCTCGGAGAAGAGCCGGAGGGACCTTGGCGCCGGGGTCACGAGGAACCTGCAAGTCGTGGCCGAGGCGGCGACGGGAGCGGTGCAGAGGTGGATCCAGCTCAACGATGAGGCTACCGCGCGCATAATGAAGAGAGAGGAACACATTGAGTGGCTGAGGAAGCTCTTCGCTGGGTGGAAGGAGGCCCGGCCGGCCTTGAGGGAGTCGCAGAGGAGGAGGGATAACGCAGGCAACGCAGGGACGGGCCAACAGCCTGTGGGACGAACGAGGGCCGCGACGGCAGCTCAAGCGGGAGGGAGCGGAGACAGTGGGCAGCGAGCGAAGTGGGTGAGAGCAGACTGATGATGCTCCTTCGACTTAGGGAGCGGTTTAGCTGCTGGGCGGGCTTCAGGGTGGTGCTCACGCGAAAAGGAATCGACGCGATGTACAAAGCATACAACAAGAGGAGAAAGAAGAGGACGGACATCAGTGATGACGAAACAGAAGCTAGCGCAGAAGAGAGCAGGGCAGACCCGGGGACTGGGGAGCCGGAGCAGACGGCATCGGCCGCCGAGGGAATGTTGGGAAGAGGCACGAGGAGGGCGGCGACCTCAACCGACTATCACCAGACGACGCAGAGCAGACGACGGGGAGGCGGAGCAGACGCGCAGGGCGAGACGAGGGAGGGAGCAGGACGTTGCGGAGATCAGCAGGAGGATGGTACGAAGAGATTAGGAGCAGCAGGGACCCAAGGGACCATGTGGAAGACGGCTAGTGCTAGTCCCCCATCGGGAGGACGACCCCGGCTACTCGCCGACCACACCCACAAAGAACCCTGCACAAAGATCGCACGGGCGGGGACCTGTTCCTTTTTTTTTACCCACGCTCCTAGTAGAGGTGTCCGTTTTATTTACGTTATACGTATTTATTTATATGGGCCAGGGCCCTAACAGCAGCACATGGCCCGCCTCCTCGCCCGCACGTCTTCGCCCTCGATGTGCCGAAGGAGCTCTTTTGCGGCTTGGGCAAACTCGTGACGCGGCCCAGGCAAAGGCGGGGCAGCCTCTGGCGGCAGCGAGAGCCATGGCAGGCCGTTCGGCGCCGACCGCCCCAAATCGGCTGGCGCTGTGGCGCGGGCGCAAAAGAGCCAGAGGGCGTCGCGCTGCAGGCCGGCCAAGTCCGCGGCGAGGGCAGCCGCCTCCGTGCGGACGCGCTCCGGCTGCCGGCTCGAGAGCAGCGGCTCGATGGCGGTCATCACGACGACGACCCTTGCCGTCGCAGCGCGCGGCACGCGGCAGAGCGCGCGGAGGACGCCGAGCGCCGCGAGGAGCGCGTCCTGCGGGCGCGAGCGCGGCTCGGCGGCCGCCTGCCCGCCGGCCGGGCGAAGCTGTGTGAGGGGCGGCGCCGCGCCGTGCGCCGCGACCACGCGCAGCACCGGCGGGAAGGCGGCGGCCATCGAGGAGACGGAGAGCTCGCCGCGCAGGAGGTGTGCCGCGGTGCGGAGCACGCCCATTGCGGCCGCGGCGAGGGCGAGCTCGGGCGAGTCGAAGAGGGAGACGAGCGGCGCCCAGAGCTTGTGCAGCGCCGGCAGCAGCGCACGTGGCCACGGCTGCAGCAGCGGGATGGCGGCGGCGAGCGCGTCGAGCAGGACGTGGGCGACGCTCGGGGGCGAGCAGAGCAGGAGCATCTCCACCTTTTGCACCACCCGCAGCGCGAGCGCCGGCGCCATGGGCGGCTTGTTGCGCCGCTCCTCCTCCTCCTCCTCCTCGCGCACCTCCGCCTCACGGCGTGCCGCCGCCTCCTCTTGCCCCTCCGGGCCCTCGCCCTCTGCCGCCGCCTCCTCGCCGCCGCCGGGCTCGCCTCCCCGTGCCTCGGCGGGCGCGACCTCGCTCCAAAAGGAGTCGAACATCGCGGCGAGCTCGTTGCCAGCCTCGTCGCCCTCGCCCTCGCCGCTGCCCGGTACCGCCAGGCCGCCCACCGACTCGGCCGCCCCGACGGCGGAGCTGACACCGGCCGCGGCCACCGCCGCACCCTCCGGCGCCGCCGCACCCTCGCCGCTGGCCGCCGTCTCGTCCGCCGCCTGGCAATCCCTGGCGGCCAGCACGAGCGCGCACATTGCCCGCGCGCACGGTAGCAGCGCCGGCGCCGCCCTGCTCTCGCCGTCCGCCGCGCCGACAGCCTCGTCGGCGAGGTCGATTAGCTCTCCGACGACATCGGCGAGCAGCGGCAGCGTCGTCGCGCCCGCGTAGCTCAGCAGCGCCTCCATCACGAGCGGCACGCGCGAGCGGCCAGACGGCTGGTGCCGCAGCCGGCGCGAGAGCGCCTCGAGCAGGAAGTCGCCGTTGGCCTCGATCAGCGCCGCCACCGTCGCGCCCTCCCCCCTCCCCTGGGCGAGGCTCATGCGGCAGAGCGCGCGCTCCGCAGCCTCCGCGACGAGGGCGGCAGAATCGCCCAGCTGCTCGAGGACAGAGAGCAGAGAGAGGCGCAAGCCCACTTGCAGCGCGTCGGAGCCGCCCGCCGCCCCCGACTCCTCGCCGCCGCGCCCCAACGCGCCGAGCAGGACGCAGCAATGGCCGACGAGGTCAAGCGCGAGCTCGCGCTCTTGCAGGCGCGCGTGCTGCTCGAGCAACGGCAGCGACTCGTCGCCGCGCTCCTCGCCGGCCGCCGCCAGCACCTCAGTCACCACCAGCAGGAGGCTCTCCTACGGTGGAACGCCCGTCCGCTCACAAGAGGCGGCTGCGCCACCTCCGTCGCTGCGGGAAGGTGAACCTCGAGCGCTGCCGCACGCGCCTCCGCCGCCCCTGCGGCGCGCGGCTCCGGCTCTGCCCTCCCGTTTTCGCCGGAGAGCGCCTCGCCTCCACAGCCGGCCCGCCCGAAGGTGGCCTTCCCGAGGGCATCCTGCCCGAGGGCATCCTGCCCGAGGGCATCCTGCCCGAGGGCATCCTCGAGCGTGAGCAGCTCGGGCTCGACGTCGCTGTCGCTCGCTTGGAGCGCCCTGCCGCCCGCCCGCTCGCTAGGCGCCAGCAGCGCCTCTGCCCGAGCGGCGAGCCCGGCGTGAGCACCGCTGCTCGCCCCCCCCTCCTCCCCTCCCTCCTCCCCTCCCTCCTCCCCTCCCTCCTCCCCGCCACAAGGGGGACCGACTTGCGCCTCGCCGCCCTCGCGCCAGCCCGGCCTCAGCCCACTCGTCACCCCGACCACGCACCGCCCGAGCAGCCAGAGAGCCTCCCGGCGCGACGCGCGCTCGCCGCCGCCGGAGCGCGGCGCGGCGGCGACGGGCAGCAGAGTGTGAACGAGGTGCTCGAGCGGCGCGGCGCGGCCGAGCGTCTCACACAGCTCGGCCATCGCTCGGACGGTCGGCGCGTCCCGCAAGTCGGCAAACGGGTGCAGCAGCGACGAGGGCGTCTGCAGCTGCGAGAGGCGCGCCGACGCCGAGGCGGCCGAGGCGAGGCGGGTGGCGTGCCGCCCTTTGCGCTGCTCGATGGCGACGGCGCGCGGGGCGAAGCGGAGCACCGGGAGGAGGACGCAGCAGATGTGGCCGAGGCGCGACGCGCCGAGCTGCGAGGTGACGGCGAACTCGCCCACGCCGCCCTCCGCAGCCGCGGGCCCGCCGGCGAGCAGCTCGAGCTGCGAGGTGAGCAGGCGGAGCGCGAGCGCCTTGGGAGGCTCGGCAGCCGCGCGGGCGACCTGCGGCAGCCGAGCCGGCTCTCATCAACAGCTCATTCATCACTCATTCAAGACGCATGACTCGTGACCTGCGGCAGCCGGCCGAGCTGGCCCTCGAAGGAAGCGGAGAGGACGTGCGCCATCCCGCCGCCGGGCGGCAGGCGCACCTACAGCCGGGCCGGCATGCTGCAGCTCCATGCCCAGCTCGGCGCGTGCTCCCCCTCGAGGGGCTGGCGGGGAGGAGGAGGGGCTGGCGGGGAGGAGGCCGCGCGAGGGGCTGGCGGGGAGGAGGGGCTGGCGGGGAGGAGGCCGCGCGCCGCGAGGGAGGAGAGGGAGGCGCGCGCCACCGCCGCCACGGGCGGCAGGTCGTCGCGGGCGAGGCCGGCGAGCAGCTCGACGAGGGCAGGGACGCACCTGATGAGTTGACTCGTCTGCAGTAGTCCTCAGCCAGTCACATCAGCCAGTCAGGAGCGCGGCGAGGGGAGGGACGCACGGAGCGAGGGCGAGCGGCTCGGCCTCGCGCGCCAGCGCATCGAGCAGCGCGGCGAGCCGCATCCGCACCCTCGGGCTCCTGTGAGACATGTCTCGGACATGTCTAGGACGTGTCCTGGAAGCGGCGAGCAGCAAGCACCCTCGGTTCCTGCCGCCGGAGCACGCGCGGCCGAGGAGGAGCAGCCGGGCCGCGAGCCGCGAGCCGCTCTCGGCAAGCCACGCCTGCGAGTCAAGTCATGGACATGTCTCGAGACATGTCCTGAGCGGCGAGCCGCGAGTCAATCACAGGTCAGAGTGATGGAAGTGGCATGGAAGTGGCATGGAAGTGGCATGGAAGTGTCAAGGAAGTGTCATGGAAGAGTGTCGAGCACACGCACCGGGTCAGTCGGGTCGGTGGAGAACGGGGCGGCCGTGGCGGCGGACGGGACTGACGGCGCGGCCGCCTCGCCCTGCTGCGGGGCGGGGCGATGCCGCGCCGCCATGCTGGCGAGCGCGCGCCTCCCGTCGGCCGGTGAGGCTGCGGCGCCGGGGCCGAGGAGCGAGAGGCGCTCGGCGGTCTTGCCGCGCGCACCAAGCGCCGCCAGGAGGAGCGTGCGCACCGCCCCGAGTGCGGCGAGGCACGTCGGCGCGTGAGAGCTCACCGAGCGGGCCCCGATCTCGACGAGCTGCGTCGCGGCGCCCGGAAGCGCAAACGCGACCAGGTCCGGGGCGAGAGGCAGCAGCAGCAGGCTCCAGACGGCTCGCACGCACGCCGCTCGCAGGTGCGCCGCACGCTGCTCGGACGCGGCGACGAGCAGCGTCGAGAGCAGCTCGCACGTTACCGGCCGAGCCTGCCTGCTCGCGAGATGAGCCCCGAGGCAGCTGCGCTGGCCCAGTTCGTCACCACCTTGCAGGCGCAGGCGGAGCAGCCGCCGCACGCAGCAGAGTGCCGCGGCTAGCGCAGCCTCGGTAGTTCCGGACTCATCCCAACCCCGCACAGTAACGAGCAGGTGCGTCGTTTGGCGCAGGAGCACGTCGAGCTGCAGTGGCAGCAACGGTGGCGCCTCTCGCAGCGCCGCGGCGAGCTGGAGTGCAGCGCCGACGGTGGTGTCGCGACTTTCCGAGGCAGCGGACTTCGGATCTGGTGGGCACGCCTCGCGCAACGCCTCGACGGCGGCGAGCAGACGGTCCATACACGAGAGAGAGATGCCCGCGCCGCCCGCTCGCGCCCGAGAGGATAAAAGGCCACGACTTTGCTCAGGCGCAGCAGGTTGAGGCGCGTACTGTTAATGTACCTCGACTCCAAGGAACTGCAGCTTGCACTCGACAGGTGGGAGCGGAGGAACGACTCCGACGCAAGCTCTCTCCCACAATCTCTCGCACAATCTCTCGAACCCAGTGAGCGCGGCAGTGATGACTGCCCCATCCTCTCCGAAGATTCGTTCACCGTGGGTCGCGTCGTGTCATCTTGTTTCTATTCGCTCTCTGGCCACCAATGGACCTCAGTGCCGCTGAGGCCGCAGCTGCAGTGGCAGCTGGCGTCGTGTTGGTGAAGTGCGCCGGATGCGAGTCGGGTTTTTAAAGGCGTCTTCCTTGCGTGTTACGAAGGGTGCGCGTTGGCGCTGGGCATACTACTGGTGCCCACGGAGAAAGCGGATGCTTCATGTCCCGCGGAGTGCGACTCCCGCTTCGTTCCGAGGCAGCTGGCCGCGAGCGGACACCCTCGTGCGGAGAGGAACCATACAGCTGGAAACCAGATCCGTTGTGAAGTGTTGGACGCGCCACCCAAGAGCCAGATATAGGTGCGGATCGGCAAGGCGCATTTCGCGAGCACGGGTCGCCGATATGTTGCCGCCTCGTTTGCAAGTCCATCTACAACGACGACAGCTCGTGGTCGACAGCGGCAAAGAGAAATTCAGCAAGAACATTCATGTAATGTGAGAGCGAGCGCTGGAAGAAAGAAAAGAGTCGTTGGGAAGTGTGGGGAGGGCTCGAAGTATACGTACGTCGCATCCGATATTGCGTGCGTCCTGGCGTCGCGCGGGCCCTCACGTCATGGGATGTGGCTCCTCCAACGACGCACAGGGTACGTTTGGGGAGAAGAAGAAGGCGGAGGACGAGATGTGGGGCAGCATATTCGACGCCGCCGATGCAGCCTCGAGTGGTGATGGCAAACTCGACTGCACTGAAGCCAAGGCCAAGCTCGGTTTGACAGGGGCAGACTTTGATTGGCTGGACGTGCCGAACGCCGTGGGCGATGCGAAGGTCTCGCGCATAGAGTTCATCACGGGGATGAAGAAAACATATGACTCAAGATTCTACAGCCCGCAGGAGCTGGCGGACATCAGCGAGGAGATGATGGCAAAGGCGCAGTCCTAAAAACCGCCTCCCTCGACGTCTCGATCTCTGGACTCTGTGAGATGGATCCAAGCGGCATAATTCAACCTCGACCCTCCCCGCATCGGCATCGCGCTATATACAGCTTCACCCTTTGAGCTCGCTACAGCCTACACCTCTACAGACGAGAGACGACACGTGGCCGCGTTTATGTATCCTTACACGTATGTCATGCGTACAAGCGCCTGCAACAAAGGCGCCGGTGTCGGAGACCAGCGAGCGGTCTCGCGGCCTGGCAGGGGGAGCTTGGCCGGGCCAAGAGCTCCCTGCCAGCCACGCAAAACGACTCACAAGCTCCAAAAACACCGCTCTCGTCTACTCTCTCTCTCACGCACCGGCCCGCCCCACCGGCGCCCCGCGCAAGATTGTAGATTCCCGAGCGAAAAGCCACGTTCCCACGTTCCCACGTACACGTGAGTACGGTGTGCGACAGTAGTACAATGCGTGACGCCTCTCGCGGCAGACAGCGCGGGGGCGAGTCAATAAAAGCCGGGCACACACGGCGCGCGTGGTCGTGCCGCGCAAGGGTCAAGCGCCGCGCCAGGCCGCGGCGGGCATCAGCGGCGCGGTGATGGAGTGGCCGCGCTTGAGGCGGGGGGCGAAGTAGGCCTCGATCTCCTCCAGTGTGCGGCCGCGCGTCTCGGGGAGGGAGAAGGCGAGGAGCAGCCCCGCGGCGAGCACGGCCGCGAAGGGGAGGAAGGAGAGTGGGCCGAGCCAGCTCGCGAGCGGGAGGAAGAGCTGCCCGACGACGTAGTTTGCCAGCCAGTTGACGACGGTGGTGGTGGCGATCGCCGAGGCGCGGAGCTGCGTCGGGAAGAGCTCGGCGGGCAGCAGCCAGACGACGGGCCCGAGCCCAACGCCGAAAGTGAGCACGAAGAGGACCATCGCGACGACGACGAGCGGCACCTGCCAGTCATGGCGAGTGGTGAACTCTTGAGCACGAGTGAGACCATCGCGACGACGACGAGCGGCGCCGAGCCGAGCAGCAGCGCGGCGGTGAGGAGGAGGCTCGCGGCCGCCATCCCGCCCAGCGATGCTGCGAGGAGGGGCTTGCGGCCCAGTCGGTCCATGAGGGCCGTCGAGAGGAGGACGACGAACACGTTGACCTGTTCACACCTCTGCGTGTGGAGAGGCGCTGTTCACACCCGTCGAGAGGAGGAGGAGACTGCAGTGGCCGAGTTCATCAGCAGGGCGACGAGCTCGCACTCCTGCTGCGAGAGATTTAATTATATTATAACTAATTGATTCATTAGGCGACGAGCTCGCACTCCTGCTGCGAGAGATTTAATTATATTATAACTAATTGATTCATTAGGCGACGAGCTCGCACTCCTGCTGCGAGAGATTTAATTATATTATAACTAATTGATTCATTAGGCGACGAGCTCGCACTCCTGCTGCGAGAGATTTAATTATATTATAACTAATTGATTCATTAGGCGACGAGCTCGCACTCCTGCTGCGAGAGGCCTCGCTGGGCGAGGAAAGTGCTCGAGTAGTTGAAGACGTTGTTGATGCCTGCGCGGGGAGGCTCCGAGAAGGGTCAGAGGAAGGGGCAGAGGAGGTGGTCGTGCAGACGCAGAGGCTGGGCACGGGCCCGAGAATTGCTGCACCGCCATCAGGCCGACGCAGAGCACCAGCGGCCGCCGCGCGCTCGGGTCAATGAGCAAGCGAGCGCTAGAGCCGCCGCCTAATGAGTACTGGGTGCTGGTGCACAGCAGTACTCCGGGGTCGATGAGCCAGCGAGCGCCTCGAGCCGCCTGGCCAGCTTGCCGGTCGCCTGCCTCCGGGCCTGCCTTGCGGGGAGGGGAGCATCGAGGCCAGCTCCTGGTGCAGCTCGGCGGTCTCGACCTCGCCGCCGCGGCAGCCGCGCAGCCTTGCGAGGGTGGTTCGCGCGGCCTCGTCGCGCCCGCGCAGGAGGAGCCAGCGAGGCGACTCGAGCAGGGAGTGGCGGAGGAGGAGGAGCTGCAGTGCGGCGGGAGGGAGGACGGCGAGGAGCACCAACCGCCACCTGCTCGCACCGCGCGGGCGTGAGGGGCGGGCGGGCGGGCGGGGGAGGAGGAGGAGCCCGCGCCGGTCGTCGGAGCCGAGGAGGGGAGGAAGGCCGAGCACTTGCGCGAGGAGCATGCCTGACAAAGTGATCACAACAAGAAGGATGAGAAGTGACAGTGTGAGCGAGCGCTTGGGCGAGTGGAGCACGCCGGTGACGGCGGTGAGGAGGAAGGCGGAGCCGAGCGTGCCTCGCAGGTGGGCGGGCGAGATCTCGCCTAGCCCATCCACTCGACTCGTGCTGAGTAGCAGCTCGTTGGCACCGCCTGGCGGGGGTCGGCGAGATCTCGCCAAGGTACATCGGCACGACGACGGTGCTGCCGCCGCACGCGACGCCGGAGAGGACGCGAGAGAGGAGGAGGAGCAGGATCGCCGCCGTGCTCCGGCTAGTCGAGCACGGGTCCTCCTCCCGCCCACCTGCCGGGGAGGCGCCTGCCGGGAAGGCGTCTGCCGGGAAGGCGGAGGCGGCTGCGCCGACGAGTGCGGCGACGGCGTACAGGCCGCTGTTGTGGAGGAGGAAGGCACGCCGCCCCCAGCCGTCGGCGAGGTAGGCTGCCGAGGCCGAGCCGACGAGGGCACCGAGGCAGAGGATCGACACGATTAGCGACCACGTCACGTCGTTCTCGAGCAGCTGCGCATGCACAGCCTCGCCCGCGGCGCAGCCAGCCGGCAGCGAGGAAGGGAGGCCAAGCGAGGCCCGCATGGCGGCCGCGGGCGTGTTCATATTGGCGTTGTTGAGGCCGAACATGAGCGAGCTCGCGAGCGCGCCCGTGGAGGAGAGCACCAGCGATGGCGTCAGCCCGCCCTCGACAGTCATCGCGTCGACCTCAATGTGGCCGTCGGCTGCGATGGCCGTGTCGAAGAAGGCACGCAGGTCGTTCTGAGATGCGCTCGTGCCGGCGATGGAGACGCGTGACGCCAGCCCAGGCAGCGCAAGCAGCGGCAGGTCGGAGAAGGACGAGGCAGCTTGGAGGCTGCTTTCACTGCCACTGCTCCCGTCATGCAGGCGCCGCGCGGAGAGCGTCCGGGACATGGACGTGCCGTATCGCAGGACCGCCGCGTCGTCGTCGTGGGATTGTCGCATGGGTACAACGTGTGGGCTTGGGATAAAGGTGAGGCGATCGGTCACACCTCCGACGGCTGCCGACGGCTGCAGGAGACGATCCGCAGCAGCAAACGATGCTCGATGCAGCGAATTCAGCAGGAATTCAGGCGGGCGCAGGATTTCTCGGATTTTTTATTTTCCAACCAAGGAACTAGACGTAGTTATTTACGATCACCGTACAGAATATTGTATGTGGCGCGCGCCACTGCGCTTTGCGCTGCTGCTGCTGCGATTGCCTACCTGCTGCTCGCCGCGTGCGTGGCGATAAGCCGGCTGTGGCCTGTGGGAGGTGTGAGGTCAGCCGGCTCCGATCTTCGTGAGCACCTTTTCGAGCACCTTCTTCACGCGAGCGACCGTCTGCGGATGCGACCCCTCGCACATCTGCGGGGGTGGAGCGCGCGATTGGGCGCGATTGGGCGGGGAGGGGCGAGGCGGGGAGAGGGAGGGAGGGAGGACGCCGAGGGTTGGCGGGAGCGGAGAGGCCGGCAGGCGGCGCGGGGAGGGTGGTGTCCCGGCGGGGGCGGGGTGGTGCCTCCGGTTTGTACGGGTGCCTGATGGTCACCTCGCCGAGGACGGAGATGGAGGGCGGGGTGTCCGCCAGCCACTCGCACGGCATCGTCTTGTGGATGTCGTCGAAGACCGCCTGCGCAAGGACACGCGCGCGCCTCAAGCGCTGAGGCGAGCGGAGGTGAGGCGAGGCCGCTGAAGCACGCTGCACACAGATGCGCACGCGCCTGCGCTAGGACGGTCGCATTCGCGTTCATGTTTGCGAACGTCTTGGTGCTCATTTGACCGAGCTGGTGGGCCGTGCGCTGCGTAGCTGCCAGTTTGACCGCACTCGGGTCGAACGGCAGCGGGACGGTGCCACTCGCCTCGCCGGTGTCCGGCGCGGCAGCGAGCACCTTGACGCTCTTAACGTACTGCGTGTTGATGGTGAGATAGGTTGCGCGGCCTTGCGGCGCGCCTGCGCGCCGGGAGCGGCGTCGGGCGAGTGAGCGCTGGCAGGCCGCGTCGGCGAGAGCTGCGTCGGCGCACCGGCCGGCGTCTCGACCACAAAGCAGCCCTGCGGCTGGTACATTGCAAAGACGGCGCCTTCGTGCACGGTGCCAGTCGTCATTTCGACCCGCACGCGCGCGTCGAGGATGGCGTCGTCGAAGCTGAAGCTGCCGGTGGACATACACATATACACACATATCCGATGTTGTTTATGCGTGTATGCCGAAGAAAAGAAAGCGCGCGACCAGGACTCGCCGCTTTCCTACCGCTGTGATGGTCCACCCAAAAAGAACCTCGCCAACGAGGCTTCGGCCAACGAAAAAAAAACCCAAGAGAGGGGTTGGAGAAACCAAGAGAGGGGTGGGAGGGCGGGAGAATCCAAAAAAGCCGTCCAAAAAGCCGCAAAAAGCCAGCGAGCCTCCCGTTACGCGATTGCTCGATGATGCGTGGCCAGCGCGGGAGCAGGTCGGCGCCGACGCTGCCAGAACTAAGACGAGACCGCGACCGACGGCGGGCCGTGCTGGCGAGCATCCGCGCTGCTGACGACGTGCTCGAGACTGACCTTCAGAGCGACGAGATTCTCGCATGCTTTGAGGAGGCGCTCGGCGAACGGCAGCCAGAGATGGGAGAACGGATGCTGCAGCAGGGCGAGAGGCGAACGCCGAGAGTGCGGAGGCCGCACCGCGACTGGAGGCTGCAGCAGAGCAGCAGCGGGAACATTCCCTGCTTGCACCGACCGCGGGGCGCGGCGTTGAGCCGGTGCTGCCAGACCCGGTGCCTATGCAGCTATGCTGCAAAACCCTTTAAATCCTCCTCCGCCCGCCCTTGCCTCCGCCCAGCCCTCCACCCTCCGCTCTCGCCCTCCGCCCTTGCCCTGGCTGGCCTGGGTGGCATCTCCTCATCATCACGCGCCAAGTGGGAGGGAAGTGGACGGGGCCCTGAGCCGACCTAGCCCTAAACGGAATGGGGCGCCCAACACGTGCCCGGATTACTGTGCCTTCCCCGGGTGCAGCCTTTCGGTTCGTGGAGGGTCGGTGCGTGTCGTGACCCCCTGGAACACCCGTACCCCCGCACCATCTCCGTCGCTTGGTTCCATAACCTACTGTCTGAATACGTTTTCCACGTATTCCAAATGACCTCCCAGAGGCCTGTATTCCACCCGTATTCCACCCGTATTCCACGTATTCCATGGAATACGCCGTATTCCAAGCTCCCAAAATGGACGTATTCCGTATAAAATTTTCTTCGCTCCGCGAATTCAGACAGTAGGTTCCATAACCTCTGCCACCACCGGGAGGCGGCCAGGGCTTCATAGACTCGGTCGAGAGACCCCAGATTGGCATCCATGCCTCTCTGGACAGGGTGGCCCGCCACAACGACCCCTGGAATTGCGACTCGCCGCTTTCCGCCCGCTGTGATTTTTTCTGTGTGAGCTCTGTGTCTTCATTGATTTGCAAAAGATCGCTCCTCATCGCAAACCCCGTCAGCAGTTCACCTACGGGTATGTTCGTAAGAGCTAAAAAAAAAAAAAAAAAACTCGCCGTCATGTTTGCGCTGTTCGCGCTCGCGACGACGGCCCGCGCCAGCAGCCTGTCGACGGCACGGCGGCAGGCGCGGCAGGCTCGGAGGCAGGCTCGGCTCGTCGACGCGCGCGCCTCCTCGCTCGAGCGCCGACTCCAGGAGCAGGGCACCGTCCTGGAGCGGCTTGAGGAGCGGACGGCAGACCTCGAGCGGGTCGCGGTCAAGGAGTTTGAGATTCTGCACTACAATGTGCTCTCCAACTACAGCGCCACCAACATGCTGCCGTGGTTCTGCTACGGTTGCAACGTCACCGCCGCCGAGCGCGCCGAGATGCACCGTCGCTTCTACGCCCCCGGCCCGACCGGCTTCAAGCGCGTGCGAGGCAAGGGCTGGCCGACGTGGGCGGAGGAGGTGCTATCTCCGGAGCGACGAGCTGCCGTCGAGGCGTACGACGCCCTCCACTTCGGGTGGGAGCGGCGGTGCGAGCGGCTGATCGCTGCGGTGTGCCGCCACCGCGTCGGCTGCCGCGAGCGGGCGCCCGACATCCTCACCCTCGCCGAGTGCGACTGCTACGACGAGTTTTGGCGGGAGCGGCTGCTGCAGCGAGGGTACGCCTCCACGTGGCGGAAGCGGCCTCGCTCCTCGATCGACGGGTGCGCCATCGCCTGGCGCTCCTCCACCTTCGAGCTGCGGACAGAAGCACACACACCCTGCTGAAAAGGATGTGAGATTGTCTTCTAGGCGCTCCTCCACCTTCGAGCTGCTCGCGTCGGGAGGGTGCGGCCCCCGCAGCCTGCACTAGCCCGCAGTACACACTGGCCCGCAGCACACTGGCTCGCAGTCGCCAGTCCCTGATGAAGTAGAGCTGTGCGAGCAGGCACGACTTTGGCTCCCCACATCTGCCCAGATCTCCCCTGCTATCTCCCCACACCTCCGAGCAGGTACGACTTTGGCTCCGCCCTCTCCCGCTCGCCGGACCGCACCTGCCACTTCGCCCTCCTCGCGTGGCGGCAACCTCGGACCACTTACCGGTGATCGTTGTAGCGTCACGAGCTGCAGCAGGCGAGGGAGGGTAGGTGTGGGGGTTAGGTGTGGGGGTTAGAGGTGGGTGTTAGGGGTGGGTGTTAGGGGTGGGAGGGGTAGATTAGGCCTCCCGTGAGCCTCCTCGCGCCCTCGGCTGCAGGCGCTCCGCTTTGAGTGTTAATTAATTAATTAATCGACCAATCAATCAGGCGCTCCGCTCGATGTGCTCCGCGCCGCTCGACGAGCCGCGCGTCGAGGCGGCGCTGCGCACGGGCTCGAGGGCGCGCATCCACTCCTCTCGAATCGGGTGCTCGCCTGGTAGGCTGTGCTGCGCGAGCTCGAGGACGGCGCGGGCACCATCTCGCTCGCCTCCTTCACGAACTGGATGATGGGGCGGTACACCTCCTCGCTCGAGGACCCCTCGATAATTGCCGACTCGATGTCCAAGGTGCCAAACTACGGTGACCTGTGGCCGCAAGAGGTGTACAACCAGTGAGGCGCTCGTACCAGCAACCAGGGGCCGCGGCTTGGGACCACCGCAGCTGTGCGCGGGTGGGGCTAGCCTTGTACGTGTGCGTGCTACGCCGAGCGTGAGGGCGTGAACCCCTGGAGTACGGAGTACTACTACGGGACCCACAAGAGTATCCACACGCATGGGGTCTCGAAAAATACAAGTTGCAACACACCACAATCTGCGCGCTCAAGTGTGCAACAACTGAACAGGTTGCGACATGCGAGCGCCGTGCGCCGACACCACTCTAGATCACCACTCGCCGCCCAGACCGAGAGCGTGGTGCGTGGGAGAGAGACGCGAGACCCCTACAGGCTACACGCCCTAGAGAGCCCGACCGCACACAACACTTGACAACACTCTCTCCACACACACGACACAGGTCACACACAGCGGCACAGCGCGAGAGAGAGCATGTGCGAGAGTTTGGGGTGCTTACTTTGGCGGCGAGAGAGGCAGGCGGGCCGCGCTGGCGTGCGGCACAGGGGGGCCACGGTCGCCGCGCACACATAACCATATCAGTAACCAGCCTCGCCGGCGGGGCGCCCCCGCTACCATCCAAACCCGAGTACCGGTCTACTATCATAGGTAGAGGCTCAAGTGTGACACATACACAAAGCAACTCTCATCACGGCACATACACAAAGCAACTCTCATCACATACACATACACAAAGCAACTCTCATCACGGCACACGGGCACCGGGTGGAGAGGCGGCGGCGGCGGCAGCAGCACGCGCGGGCGGACGGATTCGGACGGGGCGGAGCAGCGACCGCCTGGGCGGCCGCTGCTCTGTCTGCCAGAGCGCGCCGTCTGCCTGCGCAGCTCGAGCGCGGTCAGGTGCGAGGACGCGTGGCGGCGCGGGGAAACGCGGCGGCGGTGGCGGCGGCGGCGGCGGCGGCAGCGGCACGCGCGGGCGGACGGATTCGGACGGGGCGGAGCAGCGACTGCCTGGGCGGCCGCTGCTCTGTCTGCCAGAGCGCGCCGTCTGTGCGCAGCTCGAGCGCGGTCAGGTGCACAGGGAAGCGTGGCGGCGCGGGGACGCGCGGCGGCGGTGGCGAGCAGGCGAGAGGCCCGCGCGCGGCGAGGCGGACAGGTGATCGGCAGGCGGGTGATGGGCCGGAGAGTGACCGCGCCCAGCGATCGGAGCGAGCCGATCGTCGCTCGGCCGCAGCTGACCTCGAAGGCGTGCGGAGCGCGACTGTCGGTGTCGGAGGGCGGCCGTCATGTGGCGAGGAGGGAGGACGACAAGTGCGCGTCGTACGGGTCGCTCTTCATCGGCCAGTCGAGCGGACGGGCGTCGGTCAAAGCAAAGAGGGCCGGTGGGGCCGGTGAGGCCGGCGAGATTCGTTGCGAGATACGGTTCGCGCCAAACAAGTTTGGACGCTCTAAAAAAAGGCCGCAAAATCAAGCCATTGGAAAGGGGGCTACCCGGGTACTGGGGTAGGGTGCCCACAGGACCCAAAAAAAGAAAAGAAAAAATGGGCCACCCCCGATCGCAGCACTTCGTGTTGGCTAGTCGAGATATTGAGAGTGTGACTAGGAGGGTGGGACGCTGGGGATTCTCAAAGGTATACCCTTGGAATGGCCGGATCCAGCCTTAAAAGTACGAGATCGCGCGCGCTTCGCGCACAGCACCGCCTGTTCTCCGCGGCTGTGTGACGACGCGTGCCGTGTACCAGCAGAATTGGGCGCGCGCGGCGCGACGGCGCCCGCGAGGGAAGGCGCGGGCGCAGCGGCCGCCGGCGGCCGTACCGCCCGCCAGCCGGCGCAGCAGCGGCCAGCGCAGCGGCCGCCGGCGCAGCAGCCAGAGCAGCCGGTGCGCGCCTTGCGAGGCGAGTACTGCCGCCCGGCAGCCTCGAGGCGGCCGGGCGGCAGTACTCGTTCGAATGTTGCGAGCCGTGCGCGCGCCGAGGCGCCCGCGGCGCGCGCCCGCCCGGCTGCCAGTAGGAGGCGGCGCAATATGGCCTATAGTACAGCCCTTGAGGAGGAGGAAGAGGCTGGCTGGCAGTGCTGTATGCCGCCGAGGGGCAGTTTTGGGGTGCTGTCACGGGCCCAGGGGGCTGCAGAACGCGTCCGCAACCGGGACAACCCGCCCCCCCAGCCGAGGCCGGTCGAAGCCCACTTGACCACAGCCATGAGGAGTCCTCTTGGTGCTCCTGGCGGCCGTTTGAACCTCGGGCGCGCGCCGAGAGGGGGGGGGGGGGTCTTGCTTGCTCCACACCGAGCGCCATCGGTCCGGGAGCCTGTCGAGGACTGGGGCTCCACTCGAGGTCATGTTCATAGATTCCAAAGCATTGTTAATAGCAAAGGGGGGAAAAGGTACCCTCGACCCTCACGCCTGCAACCCTCGCGCGACAGCACACCACTGCTCCGCACGAGACACCGTTGCAGGACCAACCCCAAAACGCGACAGCGCACACAAAATAGGGAGGGTGGGTGGGGAAGCAAAACAGGCCGTGTGGGGTGTGGGTGTCACGAGGACAGACGTCCACGAAGACGGTGGACGGACGCAAACTCCTTATCCGATTCACACTCACGGCTGTCCTACTGGTCATATAGAAAGTCGGCCGTCTGCGAGCCCCCGGCTCGCCGACGGCGAGAGAGATGCCACGAGGGGTCGTGGTGGCGTCCATCGCCAGGCTCCCTAGCTCAACCGACGACCCTTCGGGATCGACGGCCGATCGTCATGAGCCTGTCGAGGACTGGGGCTCCACTCGAGGTCATGTTCATAGATTCCAAAGCATTGTTAATAGCAAAGGGGGGAAAAGGTACCCTCGACCCTCACGCCTGCAACCCTCGCGCGACAGCACACCACTGCTCCGCACGAGACACCGTTGCAGGACCAACCCCCATCGCCATCCATCGTAGAACATGATCTCGAGCCCTGCCCCAGCCCCTCAGCCACTACACCATCATAGTCACTCGCGCGAGCCGCTCGATGCGCGAGGCGAGATCGAGGCCGGCGTAGTGCTGCTGCATCGACCTCTCTCGCTCCTGCTCGTTCCAGCCGAAGATGCAGTCGATGTCTGTGATGGTAGCGCCCGTGACATCGCTCGTGTCCCGCGCCACCTTGTCCGAGAACCGTCGGTTCGAATGGTGGGCAAACTTGACAATTGGGTTGCCCGCCTCGTCCTCCTCAATCGCAAGCTCGAGGTCCTCCTCGTCGAGCAAAACAGGCCGTGTGGGGTGTGGGTGTCACGAGGACAGACGTCCACGAAGACGGTGGACGGACGCAAACTCCTTATCCGATTCACACTCACGGCTGTCCTACTGGTCATATAGAAAGTCGGCCGTCTGCGAGCCCCCGGCTCGCCGACGGCGAGAGAGATGCCACGAGGGGTCGCGGTGGCGTCCATCGCCAGGCTCCCTAGCTCAACCGACGACCCTTCGGGATCGACGGCCGATCGTCATACCGGCGTGGTCACCGAGGGTCGGCTTGCACAAGGTCTGAGCCGCGGGCGCTCGGCGCCAAGTGCAGTGTCACGCTCGTGCTCGCGCGTGACAAACCGGGGAACCCTCGTTTCCTAGTCACTCGGTCCCCCAACGGAAGAGGCCTCTCTCCTATTGGAACTGGCCAACATCAGATTTGCCGCGTGCGTCCCTTTTTGAGCCGGAAAGCTATTTTCTTTTGGGTCCTGTGGGCACCCTAACTGGGGCGGCCAATTCACACCTCGCGGGACTACTTATGTTTTCGTAAACGTAGTCGTGGCCCCCCGCTACGTCGCACGACTGCGACTGGGTAGCGGGGGGCTAAAAAGTGAGAGATATACACACACACAGATACGGCGCGTTGTGGGGGCACCACCCCGCGCCGCGGGCGCCTGAGCCCTGGCTGTCAGGCTGTCAGGTGCTGTCAGGTGATCTGTCGGGCTGTCGGGCACTGTCAGGCACTGTCAGGTGCCTCTGTCAGACCAGCTGTCAGGTGCTGTCAGTGCTGTCAGGTGCTGTCGGGTGCGTGTCTGACAGGCGAGGTGATCTGTAGCTGTCGGGTGCTGTCGGAGCTGTCGGGTGTTGCTGTCAGACGCTGTCGGAGCTGTCAGAGCTTTCAGGCTGCTGCTGCTGTCAGACGTAGGCCGGTGCTGTCAGGTGCTGTCAGGTGGTGCTGTCGGGGTGCTGTCAGGCTCTGACACACATCAGCCACACTTATGACACTATCAAGAGGGCGCTGACTATCAAGGGGGTGCTGACGCCGATGACGCCGGCGGCTACGCAGCTACCCCCCCTCCTACACGGCGTGATCACGCCGGCGGCGGCGGCCGCCTGGGGAGCGCAGATGGCGGCGCGGAGGCACAGGCGGCGGCGGCGGCGGCACAGACGGCGGCGGCCACCCCCATCCAGACGCCGTAGGCATATGACTGTAGGGCCCCAGAAGGCTAGCTGGTAGCTTCATTTGTAGTAGCACAGCCGCCGGTGCTGGAGAGGGGTCCGCACAGAGGTGGGGCGGGAGGGTTGAAAGAGAGACCCCCATGACCATCCCATGACTACATGGACATGGACCACACTCACATGTCTTTGCATGTAATTTTGTTATACCCTCATGGGGCACAGGAAAGAGGCTCTACGGGGTCTGTGTACGGTCTGTGCTGCTGTCAGGCTGTCAGCGCTGCTGTCAGGCCACTGTGTGCTGTCGGGCTGTCAGGCACAGCTGTCAGGCTGTCACGTTAGGGCCTGACAGCGACGGGTCACCTCGCCTGTCAGGCTCTGCTGTCAGGCTGTCAGATACGTGCTGTCAGACTGTCAGAGAAAGTGCTGTCAGCGCTGTCAGGCTGTCGGGCACTGTCAGGCGCTGTCCGGGGTTTGCTGTCAGTCTGTCAGACCAGGGGCAGGGCTCAGGCGGGCGCAGCGCGCGCGGGCGGGGTCGCGCGTCACGTTTTGACGGCGTGCAATCATTTTTTTTGACTGTGAAACGTCTTCCATAACTCCTACTACATCGCACCGACTGGTGTGTGTGCATTATTACTCCTCCCAGGCGCGCGCGCGCCGCGTGACCGGAGGGCGGTCCGCTGGAGCGGGCGGCCGTGAGGGCGGCGCTCAGTGGCCCGTCACGCGCACGGCCGCACTCTCCCTCGTGGTGAGGCCCTCGTTGCGCTGGTGGAGGCTGTGCGACGCGTTCCCGACGGCGAGCAAGTTGACGTAGGTGTCGCGCATCGACTTAGCGTAGGTGCGCACGTCATACTCGACCCCGTGCTTCTCGAAGAGCTGCTTGACGCGGCCGCAAATCTTGGGGTGGTTGTACTGCGGCATCGAGGGGAAGAGGTGGTGCTCGATCTGGAAGTTGAGGTAGGCCATCCACCAGTTGACGAGCGGCGTGTTCGACTGGTTGGTCGTGTGGTTGGCGGAGTAGAGCGTCCACGAGATATGCTTGTCGTGCGGCACCACGTCCTTGTGCGTGTGCGAGACGGCGAAGTTGGTGAAGATGTAGGTGCCGCCGACGGCGACGTAGAAGGCGTAGAGCCGGAACGCGCCGCCGAGTCCGAGGTGGCCAAAGGCGGCGTACCAGAGCGCGTACCGCAGCGCCATGTAGCCGAGCTCGAGCTGGTTGCCTACCGGGTGGGGGGTAGTACCGGGTGGGGGTAGAGGAGGCTCAGGCAAGGCTCGCCGGAGGGGGGCGTGGCGGAGGGCGGGAGGCTGCCCACGCGGAGGGCGTGCTTCGGGTGCTGCACGAACTGCCAGCCGAAGGAGACGAGGGTGGTGATCACGCCGCCGAAGAAGAGAGGCGCCTGCCACGCGAGCCACGACTTGCCCGCGCCGCGCGCCTTTGCACCGATGAGGCCGTGGAAGGCGACGAGCGGCATCGTCTGGGGAGGGGAGGGGGGAGGGGGTGGGGGGCAGACCGGCGAGGCGAGGGGCCGAGGCGGGGTAGGCGAGGAAGCGTGCGGCGGCCGCGGTCTTGCCGCCCCCGCCTGCAAGTCCGGGTCGGCGCCGAGCTTTTGGGGCGTGGCGTGGTGCTTGTTGTGCTGGTTGCGCCAGTAGCAGCCGGACATGCCGCAGCCAAGGCCGTAGATGATCATCTGCATGTGCCGGTCCAGCTTGATGTTGCCCGTGAGCGAGTAGTGACCTCCCTCGTGCTGCAGCCAGCCGCACCGGCCCTGCGCGATGCCGGCGACAATCGCGCCGAGGAACCAGTAGCCGGCCCAGATGAGGCGGATGCCCGCCCAGTACATGGCGACCACCTCAGCCACGCGGTACGCCACGTGCCACAGGTTGGGCTCAAAGTACCCCTCCGCCTCCAGCTGCGCCCGCAGGGCCTCAAAGTCGGCCGAGAGCGCGTCGCGCGCGAAGCCGTCCGCGACGGGGCGCGAGGGGAGGGCGCGGAGCATCTTGTCCGCCTTCTTTGACCGGATGTGGAAGTTGTTGTACGCGTCCGTGGCATCGCTCCCCAGCGACAGCTTGATGATCGAGCCGCCCGGGTGGCGCTTTATAAAGTCGCTCACGTCGTACACGCGGCCGCGGATGATCATCTCCTTGCTCGTGTCGATCGAGGAGACGGTGAGGTCGGCCGCGTCCGTGCGCGACTTGTTGGTCGCGCCATGGTACTTGGGGTCGAGGACAGACGAGTGCGCCGAAGCAGCGTCCTTTGCGGCGAGGGACATCCCTTTCGAGGCGTCTTCGCTTCGGCGAACTGCCCCCACTCCGCATCTTCGGAAAGAAATTCTCCGAAATTCCCTTCAAATCCGCATACTTGAGCACTTGAGCACTGGATAGGGTCGATTCCGCATGGTACGGGACCCCTCGATCGTCTCGCCCTCCCTCGCTGGGGTGCTCATTGGGGGGGGTCCTAACAAACACGGTACAGGATCGAGGTGCACGCTGCCGAAGCAGTATCGTCCCCCCTCTCCCCGACGGCGATGGCGGTGTGACCGATCAATCCGCATACTACAAGCAGAGACGAATTGGTCAGAACACGACAAAGGCTGAAAGGATGGAGATGGGGTAGCATAATTAGTAGCTGTTGTACAACATTAACACGTGACGCACACACGCACGCATGGACACACACACACACACACAAACAACAAAGGTATTGCTAAATCTCTCTCTCTCTCTCTCTCTCTCTCTCTCTCTCTCACACACACACACACACACACACACAGAGAGAGAGAGAGAGAGAGAGAGAGAGAGAGAGAGAGAGAGAGAGAGAGAGAGAGAGAGAGAGAGAGAGAGACTAAGAGTAACCTCGGGTAATGTCGGGTAATCTTGGGTGATCTCGGGTGACCTCGGGTGATCTTGGGTAATCTAAGGTGATTATTGGACCTCGTGTAGTCGGGGAGTGTGGGCGCTTACACACACACACACACGCAAACACACACACACACACACACACACACACACACACACACACACACACACACACACACACACACACACACACACACACACACACACACACACACACACACACACACACACACACACACAAACGCACACACACACACACACACACACACACACACACACACACACACACACACACACACACACACACACACACACACACACTCACACACGCGCCACGCACGCACGCACGCACGCACACACACACACACGCGCGCGCACACGTACACAAATACACACTATTAGTGATCTCGGGTAATCTCCGGTAATCTCGGGTAATCTCAGGTAATATTGGACCGCGTGTAGCGGGCGGGAGCGGGCACACACTCACACACGACACATACACGCACAAACACACATCATTAGTGATCTCGGGTAATCTCGGGCAACCTCGCGTAATCTCGAGTGATTCTGAGATCAGGTTGGGCGACTGGCAGACATTTCAAAAATTTGGCGCCGCAGGCGCCCGCTGCGTGCCCACCATGGTTGGGCGCGCAGCGAAGAAAATTTTGCGCTCTCGACAGCCTTTTCTAATAGGAAAATGGCCTCTACTCGGCGCCATACCGCTTGTCGGCGCACAGCGGAGTTCGCAAGCCGGACCTGCTGCCTTCCCTTCTACGTACACTTTCAGAATGGAGGCTCAAACGCAGCGCACAGCGCAGGGCTCAGACCAAGTGCAAGTCGATTTGTACCACAAAGTTGGTAGACAGTGCCAAAACCGGAACCGAAAATGGCGTTTAATTTCGCGCACCTGCTGTCCGCCGCCTGCGGCGGCGCTCCGCACCGCTTGAGGCGCCTGCGGCGCCCCTGGCGGCGCGCTGTCCGCGCGCCCCTCTGTGGTTTTCGTGGGGGGCTCGGCTCGTAAGTCTCGATTTGTACCGGATTTCGACGTTAGTGGCAAAACTGCGGAACCGAAAATGGCGTTTAATTTTGCGCACCTGCTGTCCGCCGCCTGCGGCGGCGCTCCGCGCCGCTTGGGGCGCCTGCGGCGCCCCCCTGGCAGGGTGGCGGCAGTGTGTACGGCGCTGCGGGTGCGCCCAGTAGCAGTACACAACCGGCGCTCTATGGCGTGCTCCGGGGGAGCACGACTACGCAGTCGTGGCTTCCACACGCGAGAGAGTGGCTTCTATATTTACGAAAACATTGGGCGTCCCTAGTGCCGCATCCATAAGAAGTGACGTCACGGTTCCAGGAGCGCTGGCGGCACAGCTGAGAGTGGCAGCCGAGCGCCGGCCACGACTATCGAGTCGCCGTCGCGGAGCTGAGGGGACGGGTCTTCCTCCCAGCGCCACCCATCGGTCAGCCCTCAGATCGATCGATCGGCGCTCAAAGTCGCTTCAGATCCGAGAAAGCTGCTGGCGCCGCTGCCGATCCCAGCCGCGACGCCAGCAGCTTCCTCTGCTCTCCAATGCGCCGAGAAGCGACGCGGCGGTGCTCGGCTCGCCATGCACGATGACGGCTCCGCTGGGTGCTCGTCGGCCGGTCCGGTGGCACCCTATTCGCGCGTCACCTGCCGGCGTCCCGACGACAGCCTCGCGCCGCCGCTGATGGAGGGGCGGTCGGCGCCGCTGCCGCCGCGCCGCCGGTGGGAGAGGCACTGGTGGTGGCCTGGGCGGCCCTCCGCCGCCGCTCGGCGCGCCCGGGCAGCGGTGGCAGCCTGCGCCGCCACCGCTTCGAGGGGGCGCCCCCAGCTTCGAGCGGGCGCCCCCCGCTTCCAGCGGGCGCCCGGGACGGGTTCCCCGCTTCGAGCGGGCACAGATGCGGCCGGGGATTCGCTTTCTGAAATGTCTGCCTCCAAAGGGGAAACGACTAACCTGATCTCAGAATCACTCTCTCGGGTAATCTCGGGTGATGTTGGATCTCGTGTAACGAGCCTGAGCGCGCGCGTGCACACACACACACACACACACACACACACACACACACACACACACACACACACACACACACACACACACACACACACACACACACACACACACACACATTCTTAGTGATCTCGGGTAATCTCGGGCAATCTGGAGTAATGATTATGTTGAGTAATCTCAGGGGGTGAGCTCGCACATGCGAGCGCGCACACACAGGCGAAGCGAGGGCGCGACAGGACGCACAGGTAAAGGATCCCAACGGAATCGGGCCCTGTGACGAACAAAGCTGCCGAACACGTGGGAGGTGATAGACGCGGAGATGTACGCGATCTCGCATACCTACGCAAAATGGCGAGCGCGAGCGACGCACAGACGCGACGGTGCTTTTAGTACTAACTATGCGACTGCAAACCCGCGCTGCAGCAGATTGAGAATGCGCACCGCAAAGGGATGCCAGAAGGTCTGAGGGACTGGGAGAGAGGCGGTCTCCTAGAGGCGATTGCTCACTATAGAGATCGCAGCTAGAGGCGGTGGTCTTCGTGTGGGGGTGCCATGGCACGTGGGAATAGCCTGCAACGCATACGCCGACGGCGACGCAGTGGCGACAGCATACCTCGGAAAGGACGTCGCGGAGGACGCCTCGAAGGTGGTTCTGGACGCGGTGCGAACTCGGCCCTGCATGTACACAGTGAGAAGGGAGGCGGCAGAGGACCCGGAGAAGAGGGAGATAGTGGACCGACGGACATACACGGCGAGGAGGAGGACGGCGAGGAGGACGGCGAGGAGGAGGAGGAGGAGGAGGAGGAGGAGGAGGAGGAGGAGGAGGAGGAGGAGGAGGAGGAGGAGGAGGAGGCGCCACCGACTGCGCCGCGGCGCGGCCTAGGGCGCGGCGATCGGCGCCGCCGCCGCGAGCAATCGCCCGCACTAGCGCCAGCGCCAGCACCGCAGCAGCAGCAGCGCCAGCAGCAGCAGCGCCCGCCCGGCGGTCCACGCGCCACCGTCCCGCTTAAGTGAGAGGTGTCTTCTGGTTCCTAGTGGGCCTACTGTCTGGCTTGGATGAGACGATGCAGCGACCGGTGTGACGGTGTGTCGCGGCGGGTCTCTACAGGGCTGATGCATTAACATTAACACACCTCAGGGGCAGCTCTGACTACAGATCGTGTCAACACTTGGCGCAAAGGTCGGTGTTAACACAGTTGAACGGCAGTCCCAAAACAAGCGTTAACACAGCCGTTAACACGGTGTTGACACACGCTCCGGGTAAAACCCGGGTATACCTGCAAAAAACCGGGTATACCCGAGAAATACCTGGGTCCGCGTCAATGCCGCGCGCGCCCTACTCCCAGCCTCCCAGGGCCACTGCGCCAACTGCAGCGCGCACCGTCTGCTCAAGTACGCGCACCGTACCATGTGCTGCCGCTACAAGTGCCAGAGAGCGGGTGTGAAGTGAATATGCTAGATGCGCGTTCTTTACATATTGAAACAAAGGGCAGCAACAGCCCCTCCCCTCCCCAGACAGGCGGGCCCAAGGTAGATGAGTCACGCACGCAACGAGACGAGCGCGCCGTACACCAACACCCCGACACACGCAACTCTCTAGAGGCACTAGTGACTAGTCCTCCGCCTTGTAGTCATACTTGATGGGGGCGGCGGCCGGGTGGGCGTGGCGCCCGCGCTGGCTGCCCTTGACCAGCTCGCGGAACTCCTTGAGGATCTCCTGCACCGGCACCTCCCACGCCTTCATGTTCCGCCCGTGGTAGTGCCAAAACATGAGGTTTGCCAGGTTGCGCTGGCCGAGGCTAGAGCGCTCGGACGTCTTGATGTCGTTCATGAGGGAGAAGATGCGCTCCGCCTCCGACGTGTCGAGCGGGATCAGTAGCATGATGGCGACGAGGCGGAGCACAGACATGTACTCGCCCGAAAAGGTGACGAGCATGTGCGACCAGAGGGACTTGAGCGGCCGCTGCTTGAGGCCGGGGCTCTTCGAGATCTCCTCCTTCAGGTCGATCCACGTATCGAGCAGGCCCTCGAGCGTCGTGTCCGGGCTTAGGGTACCCCTAGGCTTAAAAGGGTGGGCCCTGGGGCGCCTGCGGCTTAAACGGCTTAAAACCGGCCTAGGCCGGTTTTAAGAGCTGCTGGGCCGCCGATTCCTTAAACGGTCTTAAACGCTTAAACGGTGCGGGAGAGCTCCCGAGGTCGATGGTCCGGGAGGCTCCCGGTAGACGCCGGAGGCCGGGAAGCTGGCTACAGTCAGCTGGCACGCGTCCCCTATGCGAGTATGGCTCCTGCCAGTGCACCAGACCTACAGATGTGTCTTCAGAGGCGGGTTTGTGCCTAATAAAGGCAGTATTGGATAAAACGGCGCGGAACCCAGCGACGCGTGCCGGTGAGGCCGATTTTCTTAAACAGACTTAAAAGAGGGACCCCCCGTGCCTGCAATCTCTTAAATGACAATTTGAGCCCCCAAACCTCCTCATTTCCTAAAAGGTCTTAAAACAATCCGGCCCTCAGAACCCTAGGGGTACCCTAAGTGTCCGGGAAGAAGTCCTTGTAGTGCTTGTACAGCTCATTGATCTCCGCCTTGCCGAACGCCTCCAGCGCCTCGTGCTCCGTCGGCCAGTGCCGGTGGTCAAAGACGGCGAAGTGCTGCAGGATCGGGTTGTCGAGCACCTTCGAGTAGCGCGACTCGATGTGCGTGACGAGGTGCTCGAGGATGTTCTTCTTGTCCGCCGCGAACGCCTCCTCGTCGCCATCCTCCACCTCGAGCCGGCACGTGCTCAGCGTGTTGGCGCCCTCGTCCTTGTCGCACTCGGCCTCGAACCAGGCCTCCTTCTCGCCGGCCGTCGTCTGCAACTTCTTGAGCAGGCGCACGGTCTCCTTACGGTTACGGACGGCTGGTCAACACCTCCCGAGGGGCGGTGTTAACACGTTTGAACACCTCTACGGCGGTGGTGTTAACCGTTAACGTTTGAACACCGTGTCAACGTTAATGCATCAGCCCTGGGTCTCTAGCGGCGCGGCCCACGCTGCGCGGAGCCGCAGCCGGCTGACTGGACAGGCCACAGAGGGCCGCGGCCGCGGCCCACACTCAAAGTGACGGCTCCAGATGTCTTCGGATAGCTCTCGTGGGCCTGTGTGGTCAGGGGACCCCCCACGGGGCTTCTGTGTGGCTTTGGAAGACTCCCCTAAAATCTACTCTCAGACCCTAAAATCTAGGGGGGCAGTCTGGCCGTGAGACCGTGAAGGTCGCTGCGAGAATTGGCGAGAAACTGCGAAGGACTATTCTTGAAGAGAGGTTGTCGCTGTACTTTCTGTGACAAGCAACTGACTCCCACCGAGCCGCGCCGCGCTGCGCGCGCGCGCGGCTCACTCGCTACCACCGACACCCGTGCGCGTCACACTAGAGAGAGACAGACAGAAGCGCCAGTCACAAACTTCGTATGAAGTTGGCACGCGTTTTTCGCGAGGACAACTCTCTTGGCGGCCCGCCGCCTGCAGTGCAAGTCGCGCATCGACGAGCCGAACAATGGGCCGCGGCAAGGAGAAGCCGCTGAAGCCGAAGATCGCCGTGTCCTCTGCGTCTCGCGTTGGCGGCCCCCAGGGCACATGGGTGGGCGTCGCCGCGCTTGGGGTGTGCGCCGCAGTCTTGGCCTCGCGACTCGGCGGGTCGCCAACAGCATCGTCGTCAAACGGCAGCGAGGTGGCAGCGGACAGCCGCAGCACCGCCGAGTGCGCCGACACCGAGCCTGTGATGTGCGAGCCGTGGCATAAGGCGGGCCTGTGCAGGAGCCCGCCGTACGGCTCACAGTGCACGCGGACCTGTGGCCGATGCCCGGGCGACCCGGGCCGGCGACCGAACGCACCTCGCAACGCGAGGTGTCGACGGGACAACCAGACAGCGGCGGTGCCGGAAGGCCACCTCGACGAGCTCTTCCAGCACAGCATCGACGCCTTCCCCGAGTATTCGCCGCTCGTCCTCTCTCGCTCGCCATGGGTCGTCCAGTACCACGACTTTCTGAGCGAGGTCGAGGCGCAGGCGTTCCGAGACGTGTGCAAGGAGTCGTTCGAGCGCTCGCTCGCCGGCGACCAGCTCAACCCCGTGCGGACCTCCTACCAGTGCTGGTGCAACTTTCCAAAATGCTTTGCGAATGAGCACATCCACCGCGTCGTGCGCCGGATCAACGACCTCACAGGCGCCTGCTCGTTGGTAGTCATCACGAGGGATTAGTTGCCATGTCCACCTGACCGGCACGCCGCACATGAATAGTATACGTAGGAATGAATGCTCGACGATGGGGGACCTCAAAGAGTTCTCCATAGCTCTGAATTAATTACTACTCCCCAGGCACGCCGTACGACAACGGCGAGGACCTCCAGATCGCGCGCACCGCCGAGCAGGAGGGCGCCCCTGGCCCGGCCCGGCACCGAGGCGGGAGGGCGCATGACTGTAGGTGCGGTACGAGCCGGGCCAGTTCTACCGGCGGCACCACGACCAGAACACGGCTGTCTGGACTCCGCAGGGCACACACGCGCCGCCCTCCTCCTCCACGCGCCATCTCTTCCACACGTCTCGCCGTGAGAGCAGGCCCGCGCGTCCTCACCTTCTTCATGTACCTCAATGAGGTACGGCTCCTCGCCTCGCTTCTCTTCCGCCGTCACGCCGCCACCTCACCTCACCTCTCCTCTCCTCTCCTCTCCTCTCCTCTCCTCTCCTCTCCTCTGCTCTCCTCTCCTCTCCTCTCCTCTTCTCTTCTCTTCTCTTCCGGTCACGCCGGCGACCCTTCCCCACGCGCCTCAGGTGGACTCTGGCGGAGAAACCGCCTTCCCCGCCGTCGGCGGCGGCATCAAGGTCACCCCGACCAAGGGAAGTGCGATCCTGTGGCCTTCCACCTACAACGACCAGCCCATGACGGCAGGCGCGCGCACACACCACACACGCACGGCAGTCGCCTTGCCACCGGCCCGCCTCATCCAACGCTCATCCAACGCCGGCGGAACTCTCGCCCCCTTCCTCTACCGCTAATCAGCTCCCGCCGCGCCGCAGACCAGCGGACGGTGCACGAGGCCATGCCGGTGCACGAGGGCATCAAGTTCGGAGCAAACATGTGGATCCACCAGTTCAGCTTCAAGACCCCCTCCGAGCGGGGGTGCGAGCTCACATACGTCAACACCGTCGGCAACCAGCCGCAGTCCGAGGAGCAGAGGAGACTGGCGCGCCGGGCGTAGAGCCATGGCGGGTAGCGCGGTCGGATTGCTGGGCATGCTGGCTCGACCTGGCCACATCCTCGCCCTCCCTCCCTTGAAGGCTGCCCACTCCCCATCGACGCCTCGCCCCCCGGTGCGGCAGGTGGAGGGCCTGGTCCCAACGGCGAGCGAAACGATCGACGGGGCGAAACGGCCGCTGCACACGGGGTAGCATATGTGCGGTGTGAGCGTTTGCAGCACCTCTCTATGCGACGTGTAAGTTGTCTGTTCTGGACATGGAGAGAGGGTGAGAGTCCCTCGCTCTCCCGTCTCGCCCCTCTGCCCTCTGTATCTCCATGTGTGTCTCTCGCTCATCCTCTGGTGGTAGTCTTCTCTATTGCGCGCGTGCCTCATTTTTTTCACTGCCCTTTTGCCTCATTTTTTCACTGCCTTTTTTTCACTCGCGACGCGCGGGCGGCGGCGGCGCCACGGCCGGATTGCGGATGTAAAGCCGTGTAGCGACTCGCGTCGAGTCACGGCGGTCAGTCACGAGTGAGTGAGCCCCCCAACAGAGGCCGACGCTTAGGCCGATGCCACGCGCCCCGCTACGTTAGACGCGCCCGGCAGTTGGGTCCATTCACGGGTGCACCGTCGAGTTCGAGTGAGGCACGATACCAGCAGCCAACCTCCTCCGCCCATGCCTCGCCGCCGGCAACCCAGGAGCAAGGCTGCGATAGTGATGCTCGCTGCCTGCCCGCAGCACGCCCAGTGCGGGGAGGCTTTGGCTCGCAGTCAGCCGCCTTGGCTCCTGTGGCCTCGTCACGTCCGTGTTGGTGAGGGGAAAGCACGCCGTCGGCTCGCATCCTCCCGCTTCTGAAGGCACCCGTGACAGCAACCACCTCGTGGGAGAAGGCGGCCAGCTGCCATTACTCTCCCCGCGGCGCCAGGCCGACTCGCGAGGTGCGATCTGGCGAGGCTGGCCGAGGGCGGCGAATAGCTCTCCATTGCTACCAGTGGCGGCGACAGCGGTCGAGTCGCCTTTGTCGCGCCTTGCCGGCCGCAGAGCGGAGGGTCCGAGCTCTGTCATGCTGCCAGTGTTGAAGTGGTGATTTTCACCGAGTCGCCAGCTCGAGTCGGTTGCAGGGATCTCTTGATTGCGCTCACCCCCGTGCAGTGGCAGGCTCCCGGTGTCGCCCAGCCTCCAGTTGGATGTGTTGACGCCATCAAATCGCGCGGCGCCGTGTTTGAGCGCTAGGCCCGGCGTCGCGAGATGGAGCGGATCGCCAAGCCGCCAGTTGGAGGCGTTGACGACCGGCGCCGGCGCTGGTGCCGGCGCCAGCTCGCTTTGGCGCCAGTTGTAGGTGTTGACGACTGGCCCTGAGGCTGGTGCCGGCGCTGCTGGGGCTTGCGCAATGTCTCGCTGGCGCCGGCTTTCGGCCTTGCGCAGAGGGGAGAGGGCGGGAAAGGCAGGCTGGACGCACTCGCCGAAGCTGAACGCCTGCCCGTCCGACCAGCCTTGGTTGAAACGCCTGAAGGAGCGCGCCGCGGCGACGGTCATACACACATTTTGTCTGTGTTGAAAAGTCGTTTCAACAGGAGGTGCGTCCTCGTGTTGCTGTTGGGGTTGCCAATCAGCGATCCACTGCATGTACAAACAAAAAGTCTATGCTTTGTTGTAGTGTATGTAGTTCTTACGAACATACCCGTAGGTGAACTGCTGACAGGGTTTTGGAATGAGGAGCGATCCGAACGTGGTATTCGGGTGATCAGATCACTACCGCCGAAGCGCAAGCGCTTGGAGCAAGAGAACTGCGACGTATCGGTCTCAGACTAGCACCCCACCTCGCGGGTCGATGTTCTGACCCAGCGAGGGCCGAGGCTGCAGCGGAGCACTCGTATCTCGTTCTTTCTGAGTGAGGGAGGGTGTAGAGGATGTAGAGTGTAGAGCGCTGTAGAGCTGTAGAGATGTAGAGCGCTCTGGAGCGCTGTAGAGCTGTAGAGCTCTACATCCGCCGCGGGACGAAGCGCCTCCGTTGTAGAGCGATGTAGAGCGCGATTTTGCTGTAGAGTTTGTTGTAGAGGCTCTACAGCCAAACCGCCGGGAAGGCAGTGACTCAAGGAGGTCGAGCCGCGCTAATCCTAATGGGGTGTCTCCGAGCTTACTGGAGCTCTGATGGACGGCCCTGACTATCCCTGACACACAGAGAGTCACTCTGACGGCACACAACACCCTATAACTGCGTCATGACCAGCCTGCCATGCGTCGCCGGTGCCGCATTCGTCGCTGTGCTTCTTTAGCAGGCGGTGGACTGTCGGCTGCGAGGACGGTCGCATTTGCGCGAGGGGCGAGGCGAGGCGAGCATTCAGACGCGTTGCATGCGCCATGCCTCGCGCCAGCGCGTGCGGGAGCTCCTGGCTGAGCGTTGAGTCCAGGCGAGTTGCGCTGGCCACTATCGCTACGCCGAGCCGAGCTGACGCGCCGAGGCGCCGGCCAGTCGCAGCCGTGAGGCACGCCACAGGTCAGCAGCAGAGGCACCTGCCACCCATTGGGCGGGCAGACAGAAGGCCAGGGCAGCACTGGCAAGTGCAACGCGCCTCATCCCCTCATGTCGGAGAGAGACCGTGCGTGCCTCGTTCGCCGCTTATGATGTAGAGTTTGTTGTAGAGATTTCACGTTGTAGAGCGCCTCTACATCGCTCTACAACGCACCCGCCTCGTCACGCGGAGGATGTAGAGCTCTACAGCTCTACAGCTCTACAGCGCTCTACATCTCTACAGCTCTACAGCGCTCTACACTCTACATCCTCTACACCCTCCCTCAGCGTTCTTTCTGCGACAAAGGAAGGCAGACACCTCGCAACAGATGGTCCACACACTCCCTCCCTCCCCGTCGGGGGCCAGCCAGTGTTGCAGCACCCCGCCCGCCCCGCGCTCGTTTGTTCGCAGGCTGCAGGCAGGGCAATCTTCACACCAGGCACTGTGTAACTCCTCTCGAGGTTCTCGAGGTGGATATCCTTTGGCCGCGTTGGGTAGCGAGGATTGGTGTAACCCCTTCTCTTCTCGGGGGTTCTGGGACTTGAGGTGTGCCAGTCGCATCCGACGGTTCAGGCACGTCTGATGGGCAGTTCTCGGGCTCGAGTGAGAGCCGCGGGTCGCGGTCGCGGCCAGCGCGCCGGCCGCGGGGCCTGTCTGGCTAGGCCTAGGGCTGCCGGGCGTGACGTGATCTCTCGACCCACGGCCGGAGCGCGCGTGTAGTGCTTGAGCAGGCAGCCGGGCGGTAGGTAGCCGCGGCCACCTCAAATGGTAGCCCGTCAAGCCACTCGCCAAAGGTACCCTCTTCTTCCTCCGAAAGAAAGAAAGAAAGAAAAAACCCAAGGGAGGGATGGGAGGACGGCACGCCGCCACCACACCCGGCGAATCGCGTGCGCAAATTCTTTTTGCCACATACGTCGCTCGGGCGCTCCGTTGGTACGCGCTCCCACGCGCTCCCCGGCACGTGCCGCCAGGTCCGCACACCCCTCGGCCATGCGCCCACCCCCACCCCCTGCTCGCCGCGGCCGCGTGACGACCACTACAGCAAGGCCAGGCGGCAACAGCCCCCGGTGACGCTGCACCATGTCATAGTTACTCCGATGGCCTTCGCAGCTTCCGGACCATGCGCAGCGCGCCTGCACTGCGTCCACGCCTGTGACCTTCGCTCGCGGGCCCGCAGGAAGGAGCCGACTGCCTGATGAGCGAGCTCACCGAGCACCTGATCTCGCTCTGAAACAACCGGAGCAACGCGAGGTGAAATCCACACCGCCCGCCCGCCCGCCCGCCCGCCCCGCATTCGGTATCTCCCTGCGAGGCCTCCGCCCGTGCCTTTCCGGGGTCGTCAGACGACATGCCAGATCACTGCCGGGCGACAATGGTTGAGGCGCCACACCAGTGGGGCGCGCTCTGGAGATCTCCCGCACACGCACCAGCGCCTGCCGCACCTCACTCTCCCGCCTCCCCCGCCCGCTGACCCCGCCCGCCCCCTCTCCACAGGCCGCCTCGCCTCCCCCCTCCTCGCCTCCTTCCTCCTCGCCTCCTTCCTCCTCGCCTCCTTCCTCCTCGCCTCCTTCCTCCTCGCCTCCTTCCTCCTCGCCTCCTTCCTCCCTCCTTCCTCCTCGTCCGCCTGGACCACTCGACGCGCCTTTGTGAGCGAGAGGTCCCCCCCCCACCCCACCCCACCCCCCCCACCCCAACCCCCCCCGCCCTCCCCCCCCCCCCACACACCGCCCCGGGACGAGCGAGGCGCGGGATGACGATGGATCCAGTCACTTACCCAACGCAGGTT